GCAGGGGGTGGTCTCTTACCGCGGCCGCTATCCGTGACAGTCGTCCAGGGCACAGCAGGCATGGCATATTCTCGACATCATCGGGGGTGCGCAGGGGTTGGCCTCTCACCGCGGCCGCTATCCGTGACGGTCGTCCAGGGCACAGCAGGCACGGCATATTCTCGACACCATAGGGGGTGCGCAGGGGGTGGTCTCTCACCGCGGCCGCTATCCGTGACGGTCGTCCAGGGCACAGCAGGCATGGCATATTCTCGACACCATAGGGGGTGCGCAAGGGGTGGTCTCTCACCGCGGCCGCTATCCGTGACGGTCGTCCAGGGCACAGCAGGCATGGCATATTCTCGACACCATAGGGGGTGCGCAGGGGTGGTCTCTCCCGCGGCCGCTATCCGTGACGGTCGTCCAGGGCACAGCAGGCATGGCATATTCTCGACACCATAGGGGGTGCGCAGGGGGTGGTCTCTCACCGCGGCCGCTATCCGTGACGGACGTCCAGGGCACAGCAGGCATGGCATACTCCCGACACCATAAAAAAACGGGTGCGCGGGGGGTGGTCTATCATCGCGGCCGCTATCCGTGACGGCCGTCCAGGGCACAGCAGGCATGGCATATTCTCGACACCGTAAGGGGGTGCGCAGGGGGTGGTCTCTCACCGCGGCCGCTATCCGTGACGGTCGTCCAGGGCACAGCAGGCATGGCATATTCTCGACACCATAAAGGGGGTGCGCAGGGGGTGGTCTCTCACCGCGGCCGCTATCCGTGACGGTCGTCCAAGGCACAGCGGCATCGGCGGGGCAACGGCCACCAACATCATTCCCACATGCTTCACTTCAGCTCGCATCAGTCCAGCCATAATGTAAGTATGCGGGGTTCCTCGGTAGCGTAATTTGGCGCCTACCTCGAGCAGGTGGAGTCTTGTCCAAAGAACGCACTGCTGCAAACGGTCGCATGAAGCAGAAGCCTGGATCCAGACCCCCCCTCCCCCCTCTTCCGCCAAATGTCGAAACGCCGAACAAGACAACGTTCGCAAACGTGTGGGATCTCTGTCGATTCGCACCAGCGGCCATCCTTGCCGAAACATCTTCGTCATGCCTTTCCCAATGCTCGGCGGCGAGCGAGGGGGGGAAGTGAGAAGGAAAAGGCCCTCCCAGAAGGCGGCGGGACTTCTCAGGAGCCCTCGCGTTTTCTGAGTCGGTGTCTTCGGGGAAAGCTTGGACAACTTCTCAGAAGACCGTGGGATTCCCGAGCCTTCTGAGAAGTCCTCCTTCTCACTTCCCCCCCCGGGGCGCCGCCGAACTGTCTTGGACCTCGCATGAAGCAGAGGCCTGGAGCCAGACCCCACCTCCTCCCCCACTTCCGCCCAATGCCGAAACGCGCACAGGCGGCCTCGTGGAGGGTCGGGCCCAGGGGAAGGACCGACGAAGATAGGGCAAGGGACCCTCCGCAGCGAACCGCTAGTGGGCGAGCGCCCCTGCCCTGGGGGGCAAGGGAGGGGAGAAAGCCCAACGCGTTGGACTCCAACCGTTGGGCCTCCTTTCAAGGGAGGAGTAACCACCCGGACGCGGCAATTGACGTTTATTCTCTTGCACAGCTGTGCTCTAGAGCTCGGACATATTTATTTTCGTTCGTTCGTGGTCGCCCCCCCCCCCCCGCCGCCCCCCCCCCGAAGTGCTTCCGCAGGGCAGCTAGCCCCCCCCCTCCCCAAAGTGTTTCCGCAGGGCAGCCGGCAGCTCCCCTGGACCGCGGAACCCTTTATTTTCGCTCGTTCGCGGCCGTCCCCTCCCCCCCTCTCCCCCCATGGGCTCCCCAGGGCAGCGCTCCCCAGGGCCCCCCGCCCCTAGAGCAGCATCTCCCCCCCAGGGCTCCCCAGGGCAGCTCTCCAGGGTTTCCCAGGGCAGCTCCCCTGGACCGCGGAACCCTTTATATTTTCGCTCGTTCGTGGCCGTCCCCCTCCCCCCTCCCCTCCCCAGGGCTCCCCATGCCTTCCCCCGCCCCCCCCCCCGGGCAGCGCAGGGCAGCTCCCCCGGGTTTCCCAGGGCAGCTCCCCAGGGCTGCCCCCCAGGGCTTCCCAGGCCCCCCCGCCCCTGTAGCAACCTCCCCCCCCCCCTCAGAGCTCCCCAGGGCAGCTCTCGAGGGTTTCCCAGGGCAGCTCTCCTGGACCGCGGAACCCTTTATTGTAGTGGCCTTCGGCCAGTGCCGCCGATCCGGGGCGCTCCGACTGATGTGATCCTTCTTCGCCCTCGTCCCTCCTCTCTTTTTCCCTCCCCTCCTCTCACTCAGCATCTTCTGCGCCCCTTGGGGCCTCTTGGAGGCCTCCTCGGAGCCTCTTGGTGCGGGAGGGGTGGTACTCGAGTTCGGAACCTCCTCGGAGGCCACGATCCTTGTGAGGGGTGTCAAAAAACGCATCCGCCGGAAACTCGCACCCCCCCCCACCCCCCCTTCCACGGCAGAGCCACCCCGGCAACCCCCCCAGAGGCTGAGGCTCAGCCTCGAGGCTGTAGCTCCCCAGGGCAGCGCTCCCCAGGGCTTTCCGCCCCTATAGCAGCATCCCCCCCCCCTCCCAGGGCTCCCCAGGGCAGCTCTCCAGGGTTTCCCAGGGCAGCTTCCCTGGACCGCGGAACTCTTTATTTTGGTTCGCTCGTGGTCGTCCCCCTCCTCCTCTCCCCCCCCCAGGGCTCCCCAGGCCCCCCTCCGCCCCCCCCGGGCAGCGCAGGGCAGCTCCCCCGTGTTTTCCAGGGCAGCTCCCTAGGGCTGCCCCCAAGGGCTTCCCATGCCCCCCCGCCCTTGGAGCAGCCTCCCCCCCCCAAGAGCTCCCCAGGGCAGCTCTCCAGGGTTTCCTTGGGCAACTCTCCTGGACCGCGGAACCATTTATTCTCTTGCACAGTTGTGCTCTGGAGCTCGGACATATTTATTTTCGTCGTGTCGTGTCGTCTTTCGTCCCCCTCGCACCACCCCCTCCCTGAAACTCAGCTCCCCTGGGCGTGCCCCCCCCCCCCCCTCTGAGACCTAGCTCCCCTGGGCCACCCCCCCGTGGGCCCCTTGGCAGCCCCCCTTCCGTCCAGGCTTCCCAGGGCAGCCCCCCTGGGCTCCCCCTCCGTGGCCCTCCCCCCCCTGACCTTGGCAGCCCCCCTCCGCCCAGGCTTCCAGGCTTCCCAGGGCAGCCCCCCTGGGCCACGGAACCCTTTATTCTCGTCGTGTCGTGTCGTCGTTCGTCCCCCTCGGCCCACCCCCCTCCCTGAGACCCAGCTCCCCTGGGCTCGGCCCCACCCCCTCCCTGCGACCCAGCTCCCCTGGGCCCCCGTGGGCCCCTTGGGAGTCCCCCTCCGCCCAGGCTTCCCAGGGCAGCCCCCCTGGGCCACGGAACCCTTTATTCTCGTCGTGTCGTGTCGTCGTTCGTCCCCCTCGCCCCCCCCCCCCCCCCCTCCCGAGACCCAGCTCCCCTGGGCTCGGCCCCACCCCCTCCCTGCGACCCGGCTCCCCGCCCCCCTTTGGGGGCCACCCCCCCCGTGGGCCCCTTGGTAGCCCCTCTCCGTCCAGGCTTCCCACGGCAGCCCCCCTGGGCCACGGAACCTTTTATTTTCGTCGTGTCATGTTGTCGTTCCCCCCCTCGGCCCCCCCGTCCCTGTTCCTTCGTCCCCCTCGGCCCACCCCCCGGAACTTTTTATTTTCGTCGTGGTCGTTTGTTCGTCCTCCTAGCCCCCGGGTCGCGGACATTCTTTATTTTCGTCGTGGTTCGTGGTTCGTGGTGGTTCGCCCCCCTCGGCCCCTCCCCTGAGCCTGAGCCCCAGCTCCCCTGGGCCACCCACCCTCCGGAGGCTTGCTCCGTCCAGGTTTCCCGGGACAGCCCCCCTGGGCCGCGGACATCCTTATTTTCGTTCTTCGTCATTCCTTCGTTTGTCGTTCGTTTTCCCTCCTGGCCACAGAAGGAAACTCCTGGAGGAAGGAGGCGAAAGCCTCCTGTACCTCGCAGCTCCTTTGTGCAAGAGCCAGGGCACGCGTGCCACTTGTTTAGCGGCCCTAGACGTTTATGAAGCAGCCCTGGCCTGTTCGATTCCTTCCGTGGGTGCGCTTGCTGAACGGCTCCGCCATGCTTTCCTCGGTGCGTTGGGCCCCCGGGGGGCGCGCACTCCAGGCCCGCCCCCGTGGGCGAAGAATGGCGCGACGCAGGCCCCAATCTCCGACGATCGATCCCTGAGACCCAGGCGTTGTCACCCAGTCCCACGGAGAATAATCCCGCAGGGATACCAAAGTTCGGGGCCGCACACTCTCCTGCGTGCCCAGCCGCGCGGCCGCGCGAGGCCCCCGCCCCGGCGGGCGCGCAGTCGCCGGGGTGGAGCAGCCAGGGCTCGGCGGCGGCGACCGCCGCCCCCCCGCCGTGCGCCGAAGGAGAGCAAAAAGCCATGAGCATAAACTTTCGGCGCTCCTCCTCCTCCTCCTCCTCCTCCTCCTCCTCCTCCTCCTCCATCTCCTCCTGCTCCTCCTCCTCCTCCTCCTCCTCCTCCTCCTCCTCTCCTCCTCCTCCCCCTTCTCTACCTCCTCCTCCTCCTCCTCCTCCTCCTCCTCCTCCTCCTCCTCCTCCTCGGCCCGCCTGCGGCCCCAGGGGGCCAAACGCCCCCCGGCGGCGCCTCCGGAGCCGCCCCTGGCGCTCCGCGCGCCAGGGAGGGGGTTCCAGCGCAGATCGAAGAGCGCCGCGCGGAGCGCCAACAGGTTATGTTCATGACGTGGTTGTTCCTTTTTCTATTGCTGTGAGTCGGGCACGTCCCTCTACAAGAATAGCCAACAACATAGTCCGGGGACGATGTTTCGATTTTTTTTGCCCATGTTTGAATTCAATTGGATTATTTGACATGTTCACTCAGAATCCGCCTTGAGGAGGACATGCCAGACCCTACGCTTGCTGCATGCGCGCCCTCGCCGCCGCCGTCGTCGCCCTCGCTCGGAGGACGCCTGCGATCGAAGGAGGAACAGGTACCCAGACCGCTCCCCTTACCCGGTCTGCCTCGTCTTGGGCCTCCGAGGAGGCCCTCGTCGTCACCGCTGGATTCGCCTCGAACTTCTGGTCGAAACGCACCCCAGGAGACCTGGCATCGCTCGGACGTGTGCATTTTTTCTCGGCGAGAACCATTGAGGACGATCCTGGACCATCGAGCAAAAACGAAACACGCACGAAACCGAAGAATGCACGGGAAATGGACGCCCGAGCGATGGCGAGGAGGTCTGGAGCATAGCGGCATCGGTACTTCTCGGTTTCCCCACGCGATCGAGCAGTGGCGACGCGTGGAACCCTTTCTGTGTGCTCTGGTAACCGTTGTCTTGTGCATTGTTTTGCCGATCGCTTGGCATCGCTCGGACAGGTGCATTCTTCCTTGGGCGAGGACCATCGAGGAGCATCCTTGATCACTTGGCGAAAAGAACACGCGCGAAACCGAAACAAACAGGGAATGGTCGTCCGAGCGATGGCCAGATCGTCGCGGGCCTTCACCCCCCCCCCCTCCCCCCCCGTGGAGTAGATCTTGGCTGTTCTCGGCTCGTTTCGCAAGCAGGCGGAGTCTCCCCCACAGGACGCACTGTTGCAAACAGTCGCATTCTCGGAAGCTGGAGCCTGTACATTACCAGTGGCGGGTTGTTTTTCCCAACCCTCCTGCGTTGGGTACTCGTTTTGAATAGAGCACTGTGGTCTCCACCTTCCTCCTCCTCCTCCTCCCGCCCCCTCTCCTCCTCTCTTCGTTCCTGCTCTCCTCTCTTGCTTCCCTTCTCCTCCTCTCTTTGCTCGTCCTCTTCTCGCTTGCCTTTTACCTAGCTTGCCCCTCGCCATCCCTGGGGGGCGGCGATCTGCGAGACTGTCGTCACTTTCGAGGGCTGCTGGGGTGGCCAGCGGAGTGACGCCCCACGGGGACTCAGATTAGACCTCGCCATCCCTGGGGGGCTGCGATCTGTGAAACTGTTGCCACTTTCGAGGACTGCTGGGGTGGCCAGCGGAGTGACGCCCTACGGGGACTCAGATTAGACCTCGCCATCCCTGGGGGGCTGCGATCTGCGAAACTGTCGCCGCTTTCGAGGGCTGCTGGGGTGGCCAGCGGAGTGACGCCCTACGGGGACTCAGATTAGACCTCGCCATCCCTGGGGGGCTGCGATCTGTGAAACTGTCGCCACTTTCGAGGGATGCTGGGGTGGCCAGCGGAGTGACGCCCTACGGGGACTCAGATTAGACCTCGCCAGCGCTGGGGGGCTGCGATCTGTGAAACTATCGCCACTTTCGAAGGCTGCTGGGGTGGCCAGCGGAGTGACGCCCTACGGGGACTCAGATTAGACCTCGCCATCCCTGGGGGCTGCGATCTGCGAAACTGTCGCCACTTTCGAGGGCTGCTGGGGTGGCCAGCGGAGACGCCCTACGGGGACTCAGATTAGACCTCGCTTTGGGGGCTGCGATCTGTGAAACTGTCGCCACTTTCGAGGCCTGCTGGGGGGCCCAGCGGAGTGACGCCCTACGGGGATTCAGATTAGACCTCGCCATCCCTGGGGGGCTGCGATCTGTGAAACTGTCGCCACTTTCGAGGCCTGCTGGGGGGCCCAGCGGAGTGACGCCACGGGGATTCAGATTAGACCTCGCCATCCCTGGGGGGCTGCGATCTGTGAAACTGTCGCCACTTTCGAGGGATGCTGGGGGGCCCAGCGGAGTGACGCCCTACGGGGATCAGATTAGACCTCGCCATCCCTGGGGGGCTGCGATCTGTGAAACTGTCGCCACTTTCGAGGGCTGCTGGGGGGCCCAGCGGAGTGACGCCCTACGGGGATTCAGATTAGACCTCGCCATCCTGGGGGGCTGCGATCTGTGAAACTGTCGCCACTTTCGAGGGCTGCTGGGGGGCCCAGCGGAGTGACGCCCTACGGGGATTCAGATTAGACCTCGCCATCCCTGGGGGGCTGCGATCTGTGAAACTGTCGCCACTTTCGAAGGCTGCGTGGGGGGCCCAGCGGAGTGACGCCCTACGGGGATGCAGATTAGACCTCGCCATCCCTGGGGGGCTGCGATCTGTGAAACTGTCGCCACTTTCGAAGGCGGCTGGGGGGCCAGCGGAGTGACGTCTTACGGGGACTCAGATTAGACCTCGCCATCCCTGGGGGGCTACGATCTTTGAAACTGTCGCCACTTTCGAGGGCTGCTGTGGGGCCCACGAAACTGTCGCCACTTTCGAGACCTGCTGCGGGGTCCAGCATAGTGACGTCCTACGCGGACGCAGATTGGACCCGTCATTCTACTTCGATTATCCCGCATCTGCGATCGACTGTATGTGTGCGAGGAACTAGACATGGAGTGGTCTGGCACTGACTGACGTCAAATCGTTGTGTGCCAGTGTCTCCTGGGGTGTTGCCTGATGTGGATGCAGCTCGTCGGCGCTGCGACTCGAGCTGGCGGTCGTCCTTCGGACCCGCAGAAACATCTGCTGAGCTCGATGAGCTAGGGGAACTACAGGAAAGAAGTGCAGGAAACGGAGGCCGGTCATGCACTCGCCGATACCTCGTTGCTCTGTCATCGTCTTTGCTGTTGCATGATCCTTATCTGGCCTGCCGGCGCCGCGGCTCGAGCTGGCGGTCGCCCTTCGGGCCCGCGGGAACATCTTCTGAGACAAGTGGACGCCGCCGCCTTACTTGCAGGCAGCGCATTGCATTCGCGGACAGCAGCATGGCAGACCGCAGTGAGATCCTCAGTCGCGTGGCGTTGCCAAGCCTGGTGGAGACGCGCGTGATCGACCTGAAGTCCCAATCGCGCGTGCACTGTACCTGCGTGGCGTTCAGGCACGCGCGTGATGCTGCTCGCTCCGCGTTCAACCAGTACGTCGCCAGTGCAACTTTGGACGATGGACAACCGATTGATGATACGCGACCCCGGCCTTGAGTTTCTTCCCCGCGGGCCGCCCGCAGACTTGGCGGCGCGCCTGCGAGCGTTCAGCTCCCGCGCTGAAATGCGCGGGGAGGAGGCGGAGAAGCTAGCGGGCGAGCTACACCTCGCTCGTTCCTTGCACTCTAAACGAGTTTTGTCATGTGGAACTTTGCGACGACATGGCGCAGGCAGCGCTGCGGGTTTAGCTCGCACTTGAAAAACGCGGCAGTCTTCTGTCTCCTCCCGCCACTTTCATCGTCGTCCTATTCCCCGCCTCACCTTCTCCATGCATGCTGCTGCTTCCGCGATGGCCTTTCGCCCCCCCCGCCCTCCATTCCATCCCTCTCCCCTTCCCTCTCCTACCCCTCGTTCCCGTGCCCGTTCTTCTTCGATCCTGGGGCCTCAAGCCTCGTTCTTTCGATCGTCGTCTTGTGAATCGTGCAACGCATGCGCATCCCATGTAGCTTGCACAGCACATCGCCGCGTCTACACTGTCGTTGTTCCTGCTAATGTTGGCATATTCCTCTTGCCATTTGATGCGCGTGGGTTGGGTACGTCGCAGGGTAATGTCAATCGCACGACTTGTTGAGGGTCGGGGACGACGTCGGGGTGGTGTGGTGTGTTTAAGCAATGTATGGCTGGTGCAGCACTGTTTTGTGACATCGCTGCTGTGTTCTAAGAGCACTGTTCTAAGAGATATCCGTGGCAGGCCCCTGACGAATCCAGGACGGCCAGTGCCTGCCCAACGCTGAACACATGGAATCGCGATACAATGATTATTTAATCGCTTCGCTCATTCCGCCGGCCCGTACTGTGCCATCGCAGGCGTTTGCTTGCGCGTTCGTGGCCTCTTGGAGCCTCGGTGGGGCCGTTTGGGGCCTCTTGGCGCCTCTTTTGAGGCCTCTTGGAGAACTCGGGAGGCCTCCAGGGGGCCTCCTGAGCTCTCGTGACGGTCTCTTGGGGGGCTTTCGGCGGGCTCTTGGCGGTATTTGTTGGTCCTCTTGGGGCCTGGGGCTTGACGTTGTTGGTCCTCTTGGGGCCTCACGGGAGCTTATTGGGGCGTCTTGGGGGTGTCTTGGAGAGTCTCTTGGGGCCTCTTTCGGGGTCCTGGGCGCCTTCTGGGGCGGAGGGCTCGATTTTTCAGTTTTCGGTTCCCTTCTTGAGCCCCTCTTGGGCCCGTCTTGGGGCCTCTTGGTCCGCCTTGGGCAGCACTTGGGCCGTCTGGGGGGCGCTCTTGAGCCGCTCCGGGGCCGTCTTGGGAGCCTCGTGGGCCGTCTTGGAGCAGTCTTGAAGGCCTCTTGGGCTCTCTTGGAGCGTCCGGAAGCGAAAAGGCCAGAACGCAACACAAACATCGAAAAAAACAATGAAAATCAACGATTTTGGCAACTTGGGGCCCTCTTCGGAGGCCTCTTGGAAGGCCCTTGGAGCGTCTTGGAGGCCTCTTGGGCTGTCTTGGGGCCATCTGGGGCGTCTTCGGGCGATCTTTGGCCGTCTCGGGCCTCTCTTGGACCGTCTAGAAAGCTTCTCGGGGCCCTCTTGGACCGATCTGGAGCCCTCTTGGACTCCGAAACAGAACTCCAGCATCTCTGACCCGACCTTGCCGGGGACTTGCCGGGACCTTGCCGGGGTACTTTTCGCCCGGGGACCCCCAGGGGCCGCCCCGCGCGCGCGAACTAGAAATATTGTTAACCAGGTACCGGAGATCTTAGCACGCCCTGGCCCGTTGGGCCTGCGAATTCTTGGATGGTTGAGGTCAGCATCGGCGCTGGATCGTCCGTGGGCGGAGATTTGCTTATAATCCCAGTTGCTTCCCCTGGCTCCCGCTCGATCTGGCTTAATGCCAGGCTCAATCCTCTGTCAATCCAGCTTTATGGCCGCTTGATTCAGCAGCGTCCAATCTAAGCCCATTCCCACTGTGCCACTCTAATCTCAGCCCCACCAGCCCACCATCCCAGGTGGGGATCGCCCCGCGAAATCCACAGGAACAGTCATCACCTGGGTGTATAAGTCGGCCATTGGGGCCAAGGCCACGCCGGTGGGAATGGGGATCTGTCTGAACGACGCCCATCGATCTGGCTCACTAGCTTTTGTCAATCGTTCTTGCGAAGACCTCCCCTAAGTTTCCCTGTAACAGCCGGGCCGATCGTGAGCCCCTGGGTTCAAGCGGGGGATCGATTACAGAATTGAAGTACCCCAACATTGCTTTCCTCGTCGAGCCACGCGTAGAATGTTCATTGATCGACAAGCCTGCTACGCATGCCTCTTGGAATCGACGAACAAATCAGCTTTGGGGCAGATCAATTCTGCAGTCGATCCCCTGCTCGAAGGGTCGGTGTGTGTTTTGTTGGTTTGTTCGTTTGTTCTGTGTGCATGTGTGTGTGCATGTGTGTGTGTGTGTTTGTGCTTGTGCTCGTGCTTGTGCTGTGCTTGTGCTTGTGCTTTTGCGTGCGTACGTGCGTGTGTGCGTGCGTGTGTGATTGTGTGAGTGGCCTCCTGGCCATGATAAGAGAGAGCACATGCACCGCTCCCGGGCCCCGCGCGGGCCAGCACATCTGCGTGGGAAATCGTGTGCGCCCTCCTCACTGTCGCCGTCGTCTCCGCGGTCCCCGTTGCCGCCGCCGCCGTCGTCCCCGCCGTCGCCGCTGTCGACGCCGTCGCCGTCGTCTTCGACGGCGTCGGCGTCGTCGTCGTCGCGAGGATCGGCTCCCCCTCCTCCTCCCTCGACGCCCAGGGGTTCCAGGTTCGAGGCGGTTTGTGTGGCGTCTAGGGCCTCTCCGCACGCAGCCTTGGATTAGGATGTAGCTCCTGGGAGGTTCAATTCAGCATCGGCGCTTGTATTTTCGCGGTCGAAAGCAGCCCAATAATTTGGCACCCGCTCTATGAGTTCCGCCCAATCTGGCCTAATTTGGGTTTTATTGTAGTGGCCTTCGGCCAGTGCCGCCGATCCGGGTCGCTCGGGGTTATTCTCCAGACGCAGACATTATGGGCGCACACTCAAACGCACACACGCAGTCACACCACCCAACCCGCGCCGCAGACATGCACACCCACCACCACCAACACACACACACACATACCAGTCAGGAAACGCAAATGCACATACGGCGAGCACACATACAGAGACACACGAGGCGCACGCCAGACACTAGCACGCACAGACATTTGCAGACACGCATCACACACAGAGACTCGCACAGAAGACCCTAAAACGTTTGGCTTCTCTGAAAAAGCGCGCTGCGACGGTTTCATTGCCAGCCGCGGAAATCCAATGGTTCTATGCGTCTGCCCGCAGGCCTTGAGCGCGTCTACAGAGGGGCCGCGGAACACACCCCGCATCCGCCGGAAACTCGCACACACACCCCCCCCCATCCCCCCTTCCCCGGCAGAGCCACCCCGGCAACCCCCCCAGAGGCTGAGGCTCAGCCTCGAGGCTGTAGCTGAGACTCCTTGAAACTCACACGCCGGATCGGCGGATATTGGGCTCAGTTCTGGCTAGTCCACCCCAATGGCATCAGATCTGTGCCTAATAGCCTTTACTCCGAGTTTCCTAATAAGCGTCGGGGGGGACGTCACCCTCGCCGACAGCCCCACATAGACCCCCGTCGCGGGTAGCCACCGCGCGCCGAAGGCGCTCCGACCCCGTCGCAGCGCGACGACGAGGCGAGGTTGACCCCCGACGGGCGGGGTACCCCCCCACGCATATTAAGGAACCCAGAGTAAACGTTCTTACGAAGACCTCCCAGAAGGTGCCTCCTAACCTGGAGAGATCGGGCCAAGGCAGCCGTCGGCTCGAGCACATCTCGGCGGCTGGCTTTTCGACCCAGGGCGGCCCCGCAGGCCCTCTAGAAGCTGCTTTGTCATTCTTTCTGTTGGAGGGCGTGGCTCGTCGCCTGCAGGGGCAACTGGGTGGAGGAGTGAGTGCAAACAACAAGGCGTGAGGCAAAAAATATTGAGACGTGTGGCGTTTGTTGTTGAGTGCTCTCGGGCCGTGGGGTCCCTGCGGAGATTGTCTCGGAGGGCTTTTGTCGTGTTGGGCCGCCTTCGGGACTTCTTTCGGCGCCCCTGGCCCCTACCGGGCGCTCTCTTGGGCCAACCTGGGGCCCACTGCGGTCTTCCTCCTCCTCCTCCATCTCCTCCTCCTCCTGCTCCCCCTCCCCTCCTCCTCCTCCTCCTCCTCCTTCTCCTCCTCCTCCTCCATCTCCTCCTCCATCTCCTCCTCCTCCTCCTCCTCCTCCTCCTCCTCCTCCTCCTCCTCCTCCTCCAGTGTGGCGGAAGGAGCGGTGTCGACTGCGCGGGCAGTGGTGCGCAAGGCTCCAGCGCGGAGTCGCGCGCGCGCGAGGACCCTCACCTTCACGCCGCACGTCACGCCGGCGACCCGCGTGAGCCGCGGCGTACCGTCGATATGTTCTTGCACGTAAAGCCGGTGCCCTTTTGTCGCTCGCCTGCTGTCGCGACGATCGGGGGCGGCCAAGAGGGGGGTTGATGACTCGGAGGGGTGGGTACCATGGCGGGGGCCACGGCGTATCTCCCCAGATGTCATGGCGCCTCTTCTCATTTCAATGCGCCCCCGCCCCCCCCCCCGGGCCGCGCACGTGCCGCCAGCCTTGATTTGCGCCCCTCCCCCCTTTTGGACGCCCCCCTCTTGGGCGCCCCCGAGCCGATGTCGTGACGACACGGCCTTGCCGTAAGCGATGCTCAGAACCGCGCTCGCCCCGCCACCGCCTTGTCGAGCGCCCGGGTGGGCGCCCTGGTGCAGGCCAGCGCTTTCGCATCATAGCTCGTTTTTCCGTGGTCGTTGGGATTCGGAGTCACCGCACGGTTTTGGGACTTGGGCCGTTCTTCGAGGATGCCTCGGGCAATTGGGGCCTCCAGGGTCCCACAACCCTGCGGCGACGGACCGTGCGGTGAGTTCTTGGGGAATTTCGAGGTCACCGCGCGTTCCATCACCGCACCGTTTCGGGCCTCCAAAAGAACGCTCTCGGCGAGACGCCACTGCGGGAACGCATCCCGAGGCGGGAGACCGCAAGGAACCGACGAAACGCACAAACATCATAGGGTTCTTCGTCCTCCCCAGGCTCGTCCTCGGCCCGCCCTCCCACGCCACGGTGGAGCGCGGCATGGGGGCGCGGTGGGCTTGTGACGTCAGCCGCAGAGGCGACGAGCATCTGCGCTTGTCAGAGCGTCAAGCAGGGGTGCACCTGTGCTGCCGGAGTTGTTGGCCAGCACCACCAAGCGCCGATCCGACCCGATCACCCCCCCATCGCCATCCAGTGGAAGCCCATGCCAAGAAACACCCTGCCTGCCTCCAGGGTGCCCTGGGTTTCTCAGGTTTCGGTGGTTTCGCAATGGGAAGCGTGACGCTCCCACACCAGAGACCAATGTGCGTCTTGGGGTCTCAGGGTTGGGTTTCTTGTGGAACGTATCTTGTGGTCCTTCTCCTACTGTGGAACCATGGGGGCGCCCCCCGGGGAGGCCGAGGGTGCCGTCCGAGACGCTCGGCCCGCTTACACATCCTTCGCGCAGGGTTTCAGAGTCCAGGCTTGGTCCAGACCTGCCTATCGGCGGCGATCAATGGGGAAAGTGAGAGGGAAAAGGCCTCCTCAGAAGGCGACGGGGTTTCTCAGAAGCCTTTGCGCCTTCCGAGAAGTGCTGGCCGTGTCTTCGGGGAAGGCTCAAGATGCTGTTCAGAAGGGCCGGGGAATCTCCGGGCCCCCTGCGAAGGCCTTCTCATTCTCACCTTCCCCCCAGGGCTCGCCGCCGTCCCCAAGCAGTGTTTTTGTTTGTTGTACCTTCTCGTCCTCCTCCTCCTCCTCCTCCACCTCCTCCTCCTCCTCCGCCTTCTCCTCCTCCTCCATATCCTCCTCTTCTCCTCCCCCTCCTCCTCCTCCTCCTCCTCCTCCTCCTCCATATCCTCCTCCTCCTTCTCCTCCTCCTCCTCCTCCTCCTCCTCCTCCTGCTCCTGCTCCTCCTCCCCTCCCCCTCCTCCTCCTCCTCCTCCTCCTCCTCGCCCTCCCCCTCCCCGCCCCCAGCCGCAGGTGAGCGCCGCGGTGCCGTCGCGCTCGCCGAGCTTCGACGGCCACCTGCGCAGCCCCGCGGTCCGCGCTCGCGCCCGAGCGGCGGGGCGGAGGAGGGGGACGCGCGGCGTGAGGAGGAGGAGGAGGAGGAGGAGGAGGAGGAGGAGGAGGAGGAGGAGGGAGGAGGAGGAGGAGGAGGAGGAGGAGGAGAGGAGGAGGAGAGGAGGAGGAGGAGGAGGAGGGGGGGGGGGAGGGGGAGGGGAGGAGAGGAGGATATGGAGGAGGGGAGGAGGAGAGAGGACCAGGGTTATGGAGGAGGAGGAGGAGAGGAGGAGAGGAGGAGAGGAGGAGGAGGAGGGGGAGGAGGAGAGGAGGGGAGGAGAGGAGAGAGGAGGAGGAGAGGAGGAGGAGGAGGGGGGGGGGAGGGGGAGGGGGAGGAGGAGAAGAGGAGGATATGGAGGAGGGGGAGGAGAAGAGGAGGACCAGGGTTATGGAGGAGGAGGAGGAGGAGGAGGAGGAGGAGGGGAGGAGGAGGAGGGGGAGGAGGAGGAGGAGGAGGAGGAGGAGGAGGAAGAGGAGGAGACCAATGCCAAGAAACACCCTACTTGGCTCCAGGGTGCATTAGGTTTCTTGGGATCCGATGGTTTGGCTGTGGCAAGCATGACGTTCCCACACTAAAAACCATCAATGGACGCCCTGGGGGTCCAGGGTTGGGTGTCTTGTAGAAGGTTTCCTGTGGGCGAGCTTCTATTGTATAGTACAGTCGCATAACGAGGATTGGCACCCTTCCCCAGGGTACCCCTTGCATCCTTGATTCTTCGGCCCATTCGTATAGCCACTTTCGCTGGCCAGCCTCGCGTTCGAAAGCCGCTCACATGGGCCTCCAAGGCTCTTTCTTGCAGTTCGAAAGCTGGGCGAGGGCTGCTAAAACCTTGGCTGCTAAAACGGTCATCCCGGAAGGAAAAAACAACATCCCGGAATGACAAACAACACCATACATATAATTTGTTGGCGCTGCGAGCGGATTTGTTTGATCCGTTCTGGCCCCCCCCCGGGCGCCGCCTCCAGCGCCGCCCCTGGCGCGCTCCGTGCTCGGGAGGAGGGTCCAGCGCAGATCCCAGACATCCGCGATGAGTGCAAAGAAATATGACCGTGCAGCTTGCTCTTCCTCCTCTTCTTCTTCTTATTCTTCTTCTTCTTCTTCTTCTTCTCCTCTTTGAAGCCTGGCCGCGTATCCTCATGACCTTGGTTGGCCGTATGGAGAACAAGCGAACCCCCTCCTGCGCCCGCAGGCCGGCGGGGCCGCGACGCCGCGCCGCCCGCCTGCCTCCGCCCAGGCCGCGCGCCGCCCGTGGTCTGCCCGCCCGCACTCGGCCTCCTCGCTCAGCCCGAAGGCTCCCGGCCTGGCGCCGCTCGCACGTGCGCAGCGTTCTCTCGGCGAGGGCTCGGAGGAGGAAGGGGTACCCTGTGCCTCGTTCTCCCCTCTTGCGGGCCTCCTGGGAGGCCCTCGCCGCCACCGCTGGCTTCGCCCCGAAGTCCTGGTCAGAACGCACCCCGGGAGAGGTCCAGGGGGTTACTCCAGATTTCGTAAGAAAGGGAGGGGGGTCTCATTTCGGGGGGGGTCTCTTCCAGGCTATCTTGGAGGGCCTTGGGGGGTCTGGGGACGATGTTTTGGAGGGTTCTCCCACGGGGGAGGTCTGAAATGGCTTGTCTTGGAGGGTCCAGACCCCCTCCCTTTTATTTCGAAATCTGGAGTAGCGGTATCGGGCAGCATCCTGGGCCATCTGGCGAGGCAGCAGCGCATGCGGCCGTGCACGCGCCCCGAGGCCGCAGGACGTCCGAGCGGCGGCAGGCCGGGGGGCGACGGGACAGCCACACACCTCGGGTGCCGCGGGCCAGGCTCGTGCTCCTCTGGGTCCAGGCAGACTGGCAGACATAAAGACGCCGTGCACGTCGTGGTGCGTTGGCCGAAAGAGGGGTGAAACGGAAGAAATAAGAAATGCGATGAAACAGCGAGCACGATAGCTTGAAGGGGGAGGAGGAGGAGGGGGGAAGGAGGAGGAGGAGAAGGAGGAGGAGGAGGAGGAGGAGGAGGAGGGGGGCTAAACAGCTACAGCGGCTGGCCAGGGGAGCGGCGTGTACGTCCCCCCACCCTGGCCTGGCCAGGGAGGTATGTGCACTGCTTTGGGCTCAGGAGGGGCCTGGCCAGCGGCAGCGGACATGAACACGCCTTTGGGTTTCCCAGATCCTTCTATTTCAAGCGCCTTCCTACTTCGAGAATCTTTATATATACATATATATATACACACAAGTGGCACGTGTGTGCCCAGGCTCATACAACAAGCTGAAGGGGCGTTTGAAGCAGGAGTGACATGCAACAGCGAAGTCGCACTCGAGCGCAAGTGGGGTTGCCACACCTTGCGATGTGTGTACCAGGGCCCCCCAGGAAGCCTCAGGAGGCCCGACTTGGATACCAGAAGAGGCTCCAGGAGGCCCCAGGATTGTGAGTGTGTGTGTGTGTGATGTGTGCTTTGTGTGGTGCGTGCTTTTTGTGTGTTGTCGGTGTGTGTGTGTGTGTATGTTATGTTTGTCTAGCGTGTGATGTGTTGGGCGTGATTTGTGTCTCTGTGTGTGCATGTAGTTCTGAAGCCCCAGGATGCCCCAGGAGGCCCCAGGCGGCCTCAGCAGGCCCAGGAGAACTCCAGGAGGCTCCGAGGCGGGGTCTGGGGTACCAGAAGGTCCAGAAAGCCCCAGGAGGCCCCAGGAGGTTCCAGGAGGCCCCCAGGAGGCTCCGAGGAGGGGTCTGGGGCTCGATTTTGGGAGGATTTTTCATGCGAAACCGCCATTCTCTGAGAATCGGGGTCAAAATTATTGAAATTACCATGTGTTTTTGAAGGTTTTATGTTAAAATGTTGAATTTCCCATGTGTTTTTGGACCCTGACGTCACGATCTGCGTGAGGGGTGCCACCGATTTTCAGAATTTCGAGGATGTCCCGAGCGAAACGGCCAGAAAAATCGCGGACGACGTGCGCATTAATCGCCTCTGAGCTCTACTCCCTCGGAGAGGTGCGTATGAGAATATATATATATATATATATATATATATATATATATATATATATATAATGATGAATACCAGGTCCCCGGCCCCGGGGCTCCGGCCCACCCCCGGGACCTCCGGGTCACGCCCGTGTTACCCCCCCCCCCGGGGGCTCCAAGACGGCCCAAGAGGCCCTCGAGACGGCCCAAGAATGTTCCAAGACGGTCCAAGAGGGCCCAGAGTCGCCGAAAGATCGGTCCAAGACGCCCATGATGGCTTCCAGACGACCCAAGACGCCCCCAAGAATCCCCAGAGGCCTCCAAGAGGCCTCCCAAGACGCCCCCGAGAGGCAGAAATCGTTGATTTGTCTTTGTTTTTTCTGTGTTTGTTTGTTTCTCGCTCTGAGGCTCCAAGACCGCCCGAGAGGCTCCCAAGACTGCTCCAAGACAGCCCAAGATGCCCACAAGAGAGCCCCAAGACGGCCCAAGAGAGCCCCAAGACCGCCCCGGATCCGCCCAAGACGGCCCAAGAGTGCCCCAAGAAGGCCCCAAGAGGGGCCCAAGAGAGGGAACACGAACCGAAAAATCGAGCTCTCCGCCCGAAGATGCCCCCATGAGAACCCAAGAAGCCCCCAAGACACGATCTGACCGCTCGCGGGGACCCCATTTAGGTCCAGGGGAGATGGTTAGGGGCAGAGGTACCCTCCCCGAAGGGGTAGAGGGAAGGGTGGAGGGAGGAAACCCGCTTAACCACCCACGCACAGAGAGCTGGTAGGATTCTCTTTGCAACTCCTCTCATCCCCTGTTCTGTCAAACGAATGCTCTGCCTGTGCCGCCCTAGAACCAAAGCGCGCGTGATTCTAGTATATGTATATATATGTATATATATATATATATATATATATATGCATGCATGCTTTTGCTGTGTCTTGTCAGTATCTGGCAGGGTATGAACCCCTCCTGCTTTACCCGCCTTTTCTACTTCATGTTTTTACCTACTTCTTCCGACCGGCGTGTATCGATATCTCGTCGCCCCAGGCTCCTCATGGGCCCTCGGCTTCCAGATGGGATCCGACCAGAGATAGGGTCGGAGGATCGCACCGCATCGCCGCTGCATCGCCGATGCGGCTCGGTGTGGAGCCCGAGTTTGTCCACGCCGACAGCGCCGACGCATCGCCGGCGTCGTCGTCGCATCGCCGATACCTTGGCGATGCGAAGAAATCCCGGGGCCCCATCTATTCGGACCCCCTTCCCGCATCGCCGATGCATCGCCGATGCGGCTCGATGTAGAGTCCGACTTGCTTCACGCGGACGTCACCGATGCATCGGCGACGTCACCGATGCATTGCCCGTGCATCGCCGATGCATCGACGATGTATCGCCGATACAACCTACTCGGACTTCATCCCGATCCGATTCAGTTCGATCGCCGATTTGACTTGTCGATTCGATTCTCGGTTTTCCTGCCAGACGGTGGTTGTGGATACGTGTAAGTCGGGCACGTCCCTCGACAGGAGGAATAGTCCAAAGCAGTCACAAGATAGTCTGGGGATTTGTTCTGTATTTTCGGTCACTGTCGGTGTATTGTTTGACTAATTATCATTTTTCGTCCAAAATCCGCCTGTAGGGGGACATGCCCGACTTACGATTGGTATGTACTTCCTTGGAGGCTCAATTCAGCATCGGGGCTGGTATCTGGCACGTTCGTGGTAGAACACTGGCTTAATCTGACACGCTCCTGCTGAATCCCCTTGATCCGGCTCAGTGTGGCTTGATCTTGGGCTCCATCTTAGCGAATCCGGCGTCGTGCCCCCCTATTCAGACCTGCTAGCCCTTGATCTTTCGCGCGAAAACCTCCCAGGAGGAGACCGTTTCTTTCAGGGTCCGGCGATTAGCGGGGTTATCGCCCTTCGCCCCCCGGATAACCTGGATTTGTCTGTCCAGCCAGTCCGAAGGAGGGGCGGGGGCGCACAGAGTTCACACACTGTAGCATTTGGCATCGCTCGGACGTGTGCATTTGTCCTTCGGCGAGGGCCATCGAGGAGCATCCATGATCATTTTAGCGAAAAAGCCACGCACGAAACCGAAAAAAAACACATAGGGAATGGACGTCGGAGCGATGGCCAGAGCATCGCCGCAGCACGGTTGGCAGCAGTAGGACGCGCAGCACTGGGCGAGCGCGCGGGGGCAGGCGCGGGGCGGCCCGAGGCGACGAGGCGACGGCTGTCGGCTGGCAGCTCCCCAAGGGCTCCCAGGAGGGCGCGAAGTTATTCGCGCTTCGCCGTCCTCCTTCCTTCTCCCCCTCCTCCTCGTCCTCCTCTTCTCCTTCTGGGAGGGCGGCGCGAGAGCGCGAAGTTATTCGCGCTTCGCGCTTCGCGCAGCGCGAAGCGCGAAGTTGGGAGCCCTAGGATACTTACAGTCGGGGCGTTGACCTCAGGAACCCGAAAGAAGGAACGAGGCCCCTTTTTCCCATAAGGTAAACTTCGATTTCCCATGGGAAACCCAACGCAAACTGTAAAACAATCAGGGAGCACCGAGCCCCTCGCCAACGAGAAGGGTTCCTTCTTCAGCGCCCCGACTGTAGTTCGGGCTATGGCGGCTGCCGCCGAGGCACTCGGAGGACGTGTGATGGGCTGGGCGACAGCTGGGGGCGGCAGCGAGGGCTGCAGATATGGAGCCCGTGAGGGCCCCACGAAGGGGCCCTCGAGGGCCCGGGATGGGCACCCTTCTTCCCCGCCCCCCTCTGTGCCGCCCGCCCGTGAAGTCGCGCCCGAGGAGAGGCGACGCGGTCGCCGAGCGCTCACCCAGAGCCCCAGAAAAATCGGGCCATCCGAATCATAGTCTTAAGTCGGGCCTGTCCCTCTACAGGGGGGCGATTCAAAAATAGTTAAAAAATTTGTCCAGGGACTATTTTTGGGGTATTTGTTGACCATGTTGGAGTATTGTCCAGGATTCTTCATTTTTCGTCGAAGATCCCCACTGTAGGGGGGCACCCCCGACTTCATCGTAATCCCAAGGTCGTCCTTTGTTGTGTGGAGGTGCCGGCGCGGGCGGAGCGAGATCGCTCCCGAGCGCTCGGGATCGCCCTCTCGGAGCTCGGCGGAGCTGTCCGCGAAGGCCGCGGCGCGGGAGACCTCCTCCAGGACCGCCGGATCTCGGAGATCCCAGGTGGTGGCCCTCGATCCTCCGATGCCTCGATCCCTCGAGTCTCGAACCCTCGATGCTGCCGATTGCATCCCTGGCCGATGCTCTCCTCCTCCTGGCCCCGATCTTTGCACGCACGTGAAGCTCCGATCCCTCCTCCTCTCCTCCTCCTCCTCCTCCTCCTCCTCCTCCTCCTCCTCCTCCTCCTCCTCCTCCTCCTCCTCCTCCTCCCCCTCCTCCTCCTCCTCGTCCTTCCCGTCCTTCTCCTCCTCCTCCTCCTGGTCTCCGCGCCTCAGGACGCGGCGGGGCGCCGGTGCTGCTCTCCTGCGCCCTGCAGTTCCCCCGCGAGCGCGCCCCGCGTCGTCTGCGGGACACGAGCCCGCCGCTGTCACCGCTGCCACGGGCCGCTGTGAAGCAAGCGCGACGTCGGACGTCTCCCCAGACCTGGAGGGTTTCTCCGAAGGGCTTAGGCGACCCGTCCTCCTCCTCCTCCTCCTCCTCCTCCCTCCTCCTCCTCCTCCTCCTCCTCCCTCCTCCTCATCCTCCACCCTCTTCCTCCTCCTCCTCCACCACCCTCCACCCTCCACCCTCCTCCTCCTCCTCCTCCTCCTCCTCCTCCTCCTCCTCCTTATCCGCCGCAGCCCGCGCCGCGACCTCCTCCTCCTCCTCCACCTCCACCTATTCCTCCTCCTCCTCCACCTCCTCCTCCTCCTCCTCGGGTCGCCTACGGCCCCGGGGGAAACAGTGCACCCAGACCCCCTCGCGTCGCGACAAAAATCACGACGGGAGTTTTGTCGCTAGTTTCGGCCTCTGGGGGCCCCATGCCCGGCCTTCGGGGCCGTCGAAAAGGACCCCGGATGAAGAGCTGGTCCCGGGGAAGGGGTCCATGCCTCTCGAGGGTCTGGGTCTAGGCCTCCCAGGAATCAGAGGAGGAGATGGTACCCAAGAGCCGTGCCCCTCCCCTCTGGCCGTTTTCCCTCTTTTCGGGGCCTCCCGGGAGGCCCTCGTCGCCGCCGTTGGGTTTGCCTCGGAACTCTGATCAGAACGCACCTCGCCCCTTTTCCCCCTTTGCGGCCCCCTGGGAGGCCCTTGTCGCCACCGCTGGATTCGCCTCGGAACTCTGTTCAGAATGCACCGCGGGAGAGGTCCGGGGAGTCGCGTTATCGGTACCTTTTGGTTTCTCCAGGAGGCGCTCGAGGACAGCCCAACATTGCACCAATGCGGCTCTGGGATCCCTCGTTTTCTCCTTCTTGAGCCTCCTGGGAGCCCTCGGCGCCGCCGCTGGATTCGCCTCGAAATTCTAGTCAGAACGCACCCTGGGAGAGGTCCGGGGGGTCGCGGTATCGGTACGTTATGGGGACGGGGGATATCGCCGCATCGCCAATGCATAGTCGATGCGGCTCGATGGGAGCCTGGTCTGCTCCGCGCTGTCGTCATCGATGCACCACCGACGTTGCCGCTGCATCACCGACACATCGCTGACGGATCGCTGATACATCGCTGATGCATCGGTGATGCATCAGCGATGTGGCGCGATCCTCCGACCACATTTAATTATTCGGACCTTATCTAGGAGGGCTCCAATTGCCGGGGGGCATCTGGAGACCACCGCCTTGCAGTCGTTGCTTCAGCAGTGTCCTTCGCACGTCGTCTTGTCTCGCCCTGGTGTAATGGACGCGAGTTGCCTTTTGGGCCTCTCGATTGCATCGTATGTGCCCCTGGTTTGTTCGTCTGCACTGGCTGCGTCGCGAGTGCGAGCCTTCTGCCATGCACATCCGGACGCTCCATGCCAATGCGATCTACGCGATCTGAATGTTTTCTGGACGTCCCTCGGCACTCCTTCACCTCGTCCTTTGTCCGCTTGCGCCTATGTGCTTTGGACCGCAATGGATGCGTCCCGCCGTTTGATTGACCGCCTGTTGGGGTCAACTCGCAGCAGACCGAACATGTCTGGGTGATCTTGCTCATGGGGGCACTTGCTTGGAATCATCGACGCAGCCCCGAACGATCGGCGATGGTGGAAGATGAAAACGTTGCGTGAACACATAATGGCCGATGACCGCGCGGATTGTGCTGGTTCGACGCCAGATTTCTTTGGCGGGTGTCTTCAGCCCCCTCTTGAACGCCATTGGCCCTGGCAAGACCCAAACATTGGCAAGGGTTACGGGCACCAATTTTGACAGGACTTGGGGCACCTGTCACGAGCCAAAATGGTCCCGAGAATCGACGGCCATGGCAGCGACCAATCCAGCCGCGACGGCCACGGCTCGCCGTCGCGCTCGCTTGGCATGAAGGGAAAGGTCCTGGACCCTTGGCCGTACCGTAGGACAACTTCTGCACCCCCTGTCGTTTTTTTTGTTGTTTTGCTTCTCTCCCGGGCACAGGACGGTGTCTCTGAGCACGGCGAGAAAGCCAGACCACGGCCTCTGAGAACCTCCCCTGACAGTCGCCCACTCATCGCCAATCGAAGCCTGGCTCGAGTCAAGTCGACGGACGTTGACGCAAGATCGACGGATGGTTGGAACGAGCGGCTCCAGGAAGGTCCCCCAAATGAGCATGTAACCACAGAGACCCTGGACGTCATGATTTATCCTCACAACGTGGACCCCAAGAGGTCTGATCCATTCCTGGGATCAGCGTCTTATCCCAAGTTGTCTTGGGACGGTTTTGGGGCCCGGCGAGGGCCCTCCGAGGCCCAAAGTACTAACAAGAGCGCTCTCTTCCTGATTTTTTGTCACGACGCAAGGGTCTTAGGACATGGGACAGGTGGTCCTGGCTCAGGGTGGCCCCAGCTCTCCAGGGGGCTCCAGGGTCGCGCGAAGAGCAGGGGGCACAGTGGACCAGGGCCATCTCTCCAGCAGCCCCCAGCGTGCCCGTCTTAGCCAGTCTTCATTTCCAGCATCGACGCCTCGAACTTTTTCGCAGTCGCAGTCGTATGCATCGTGCTCGTCGGCTCGTCGGGGTCATCTTCGTGGCTGTCGTCGTAATCGTGGCCTGTGGTCGTCGTCGTGGCCGTCGCCCCAGCGGTGGCCGTCGTAGTCGTGTTCGTCGTGGTCGATATCGTCTTCGTGGCCGTCGTCGCTGTCTCGTCGTTGGAGCAAGGTCGTCGCCGTCGTCGTCGGATGAGGAGGAAGAGGGGGACTATTACATTTTCGGAGTTGCTTGTGGCAATCGTCAGAATTGGTTCTGGCATATTTTCAACCTGCTGCACCTCGTTCAGAGCCTTCTAGAGAATTCGGGATCTTCGCGACCGGCCATCTGAAGCCCGAGATTGGGCACGGCAGCCAGCTGCAGGTGGAGCGGGTTGTACCTCCACGAGTCGTGCAAAAATAATTCGGCTGACTGCTGCCGTAGCCATTTTGGCTCAAGGGACTGGCTCAAGACAATCCAATAGCTGCCGCACAGACGCCCTGCTCTGTGCAGCGGTGAACCCACCTTCACTTCGCTGCGACTCGCATCACACCTGTTGCGCCAGCCGTGTCGGCACCTCAGGCTGCCGCTGCTACCGCTGCTCTTTCCGCTTTTTTGTCGACTCCAGATGCGCTCAAAGAAGTCCTCGCGGACCCCCACAAGTTTATGTTTATGCCGTTGTTGTTCTTCTAGTTTCTTGTCGACTCCAGATGCGTCACGTGGTCGCACTTGTGCTTCTGGCACTCCCGTTGCTGCCGTCCTCAGCAACCCGTGGACGAAAATACAGGTCGGACGGGGGAGGTGCGACACCACCAGGGGGGTCCACCTCCAGCGAGGAGGTCCACGATGCCCCCCCTAGCTGGAGGCTGGGGATGTCTCGAGCGAGAGGGGGGCCACACCACCAGGGAAACCCCCCTTGCCTCCTCGCATCTCCTCGCCCTGGTGGTGTTGGTGTCGCCTCTCCTCGTTTTTTGTTCAGAGGGGCCAGAATCAGGAGGGGAAGACACACACAGACACAATGAATCGTCGAACCGCGGACGCGATCTTCCTGTCGAGGCGTTTCTTTGACGACCCGTGGGGCGTAAATGATTCGCTCCTCGTCTTCCTAGCGCTCGACTGGATCAGAGCTCGCGACCGAGTCGACCCCGCGGCCCAGCTGCAGGGTTTGCGCCGCTGCGGGCTGCCGTGCAAGATGCCGAGGGCCGCAGGCGCGACTTACGCCGGGCGTCGCTTCGCGGTGCGGTTCGGGGCGCTGGACAAATATCTGCCTCGCGAGAACCGAGGGCAGCAACCTGCCAGGGGGGGCCGCTCTCCCTTTCTTGTTCGCCGTGGTCACGACGTCCCCGTGTCCGATGCGAAGCACGCAGTGGGGGTGGTTTCGGAAGATGCCAACGACGTCGTCTACGCGGACGACATTATGGTTGTGGCCGGGTGCATCAAGGTCATCTCGGGTGTCGCCGCCAACTACAGTCCGTCCCAGAATGGGCGGGAACCTGAGGATCTGCCAGCGCGCTGCCAGGCGTCTGTCTTGAGACACGATGGCCATCCGATTCTTCGGACGATGAGCATCGTGTACATTTTCACTGGCAACGTTGACGCTGAGCTTTCGAGAAGGGTTGGGGCGGCGCGGTCTGAGTTGGACACGTTCGCTCGCACATGCGCAGCCTGCACACTGCATGGTTGGAAGCAACAGCGCTGTCAAAACCTGACGCTGCTGGCAGCAGCAGCAGCGCCGATTACGACATATACGAAATATGCTGGGTAGTCAGCATTCTTACATACGTCACGCCATACAAACGTCAGCGCTTGGCCAGGCGAAGCAAAAACGGCTTAGCAATATCCGCTTGGATCGACAGTTGGCGTTTTTGGGCGAGATATCGCGCTTGGTTGACGATCGCTCCGCACGAATATCTTTTAAAGCTTGGGAGTGTGGATCAGCGAGATCCTCCGTCGGTCCGCTGGTGCGGCCGCCCGAGACAGGTGTGGGCGCGCGAGGTGTATAGTAACGGCGCGCTTGCATTTGCACAATGATACATCAACGTGTCAGAGTTTGCTGTTATGCTGGCCAGCGTATGAAAGAGCACGGAACGAAAAAACCGTTGTTTTCGCTAGCGCCCTTCCATTGCTCATGCGCGCGGCACGCAGCCTCTTGATTGATTGATCACAACCCTGCTGTGTGTTGGGTTCACGTTTTGATTCGAGCACTGAAGTCACTCGCGTTGTTCTCATTCCCCACCATCCCGGGCTGCTCCATGGGGATCTGGGGTTCGAGCTGCGCAATTGTCGCCACGTTCGTGGGCTCCTGGGAGGCATTGCGGAGTCTGGGAGAAAAGAAGCCCAGCCGAGACTTCGCAGTTCCCCCAGTGGCTGCGAGTTGCGAAACTGTTTGCCACTTCGGCAGGTCCTGGGGAGACACGGCAGAGTCGGGGAGTGTACGGACCCAACCGAGACCTTCCAGCTCTTGTAGGTGTGGCGAACTGCGCAATTGTTGTCATTTTCGTTGGTTCTTGGGGGTCATGGCGGAGTCGGGGAACTACACGGACCCAGCCGAGACCTTGCAGCTCTTTGGGTGGTCGCAAATTTCTAGCAATTGTCGCATGTTCGTGGGCTCCTGACGGGCACGGCGGGGAGCCGGGGAGTAAACGGATCCAGACGAGACTTCGCAGTTCCTTGGAAGGCCGCGAGTTGTGCAACTGTCGCGGGGTTCGTGGCTTCCAGGGGGGGCACGGCGGAGTGGGGGGGGGGGACGGCCCCAGCCGAGACATTGCAGTTCTTTTGGTGGCTGCGAAGTGCGCGGTCTTCACCACTTTCGTGGGCTCCTGGGGGCCATGGCGGAGCCGGGGAGTACACGGACCCAGCCGAGGGCTCGCAGTTCCTTGAGGTGTTACGATTTGCGCAAGTGTCGTCATTTCGAATGCTCCTGGGAGGCATGGCGGAGTCGGGGGATTTCACGGACCTGGTCGAGACCTCGCAGCTCCCTGGGAATTTGCGAACTTCGCAAAGGGTCGCCGTTTTCGTGGCCTCTTGCGAGGCGCGGCGGGGTCGGAGAGCGATCGGGCCCAACCGAGACTTGCCAGCTTCCTGGGGGGATGCGGCCTTCGCAATTCTCGCCGCTTTCGTGGGCTCTTGGCAGGCACGGCGGAGCCGGAGGACCCAGCCGAGACCTCTATGCGCAATCGTTGTCATTTTCCTGGGGTCTTGGGAGGCACGGCGGGGTCGGGGGGGTAAGCGGATCCAGCCGAGGCTTCGTTGATCCCGGGGTCTGTGAACTTGGCATTTGTCGCCATTTCCTGGGATTTGAGAGGCGCGGAGTAAAAGGATCCAGCCGAGACCTCGTTGATCCTTGGGTGGTTTCGAGTTGTTCATTTGTCGCCCCTTTTCGTGGGCTCCTGGGAGGCACGGCGGAGTCGGAGAGTAAACGGATCCACCGATACTTCGCAGCTCCTTGAGGTGTTCCGATCTGCAAATAACGCAATGTTCGTGGGCTCCTGAGGGGTACGGCGGAGTCGAGGAGTATTCTGACCCAGCCGAGACCTCGCAGTTCTTTTTTGGGGGGGGAACTGCGCAGTTGCCGCCAGTGCGGAGGCAATGCGGAGTAGCGGAGCACGCGGACCCAGACGAGAGTTCGTTGCTCTTTGGGTGATTGCGATCTGCGCAATTGTCACTATTTTCGTAGGCTTCTGGGAGGTCCTGCGGAGTCGGGGCCCCGCGCACCCAGCCGAGACCATGCAGCTCCTCGGGAGGCTTCGAATTGTGCTATTGTCGGCCCTTTCGTGGTTTCTTGCGCCGAGACCTTGCAGCTCCCTGGGGGGGCCACGCGCAACCAGACGAGACCTCGCTGCTCCCTGGGAGGCTGCGATTTATACAAGTGTCGCCACTTTCGTGGGCTCCTGGGAAGCACGCAGGGGTCGGGGGCCACACGCACCCAGCCGAGGCATCGCTGCTCCCCTGGGCGGCTGAGAACTGCGCAACCGTCGCCACTTTCGTGGACTGCTGGGAGGTCCAGCGGAGTCGGGGGCCACGCGCACCCAGCCGAGACCGCGCAGATCCTGGGTGGCTGCGAGCTGCGCAGCTGCCAATTTCGTGATCTGGGAGGTCCAACGCAGTCGGGGGCCGCTGCTCTTTGGGTGGCTGTGAATTGTGCAATTGTCATGTTTTTTTTGTGGGCTCCCGGGAGGTCCAGCGAAATCGGGGGCCCCGCGTACCCAGCCGAGAGCAAGCCGCACACCGCTTTGGTACCAGGGGCCATCGCGGGCGCTCTCCTTTGTGGTCGGCCATCTCCAGGCTTTGGCCCGACCCCCCCTCAGCGGCGTACAGTCTGGCCGACGTTCCAAGTGAGTGAGTGGTTTTGGCACCTTCCGCCTGGCAGTCTGGTTCCACCTGCGGGTCCGACCTTTCCGCCCTCCCCACCCTCGCTGGCACACGCTCAGCGGCTGGTTCTTCCCATTTGCATCCCTCGCTGGCACATGTTCAGCGTTGGTAATTTTCTGTTGCTGGCACATGTTCAGCTGCTTTCTCTTGGCCGGCACTTGTGCTGCGCCGTTAACTATCTGCCGTCCCGCGCGCTGTGTCCCAGCCTCGTTCACACCGCCCTCTGGACTTTTCCTTGCGGGCCGCGAATCTAAAACAAAAAAAAAACAACTTCGCAGCTCCCTGGGCGGCTGCGAACTGCGCAATGATCACCGCTTTCATGGGGCACCCAGCGTAGTCGGGGGCTGCGCGCACCAATTTGGCACTCGCTGCTCCTTGGGTGGCTGCGCCCAGTGCAATTGCCGCCACTTTCGCATGCTCCTGAGAGGCCCAGTGGAGTTGCGGACCAAGAGGATTTGGCCCAGACCTCGCGTTTCTCTGGGGGAATACGAAGTGCGCAATTGTCGCCACTTTCATGGGTTCGTGGGAGGCACGGCGTAGGTGAGGGTAGCGCAGATCATGCTTATCTGGCGATGTGCGTTTCTTCATGGAGCGTTCAGGAAAATATTCGCCTTGCTTGAGGAAAAGGGGTGGGTGCGTCTCGGATACTCCCCCAGATCCTAAGATGGGGTTATTGTTATTATTTGCACGCTGCTGGACCTCCTTCTTAGAATGCCCCCTTCATTCTCTCTCAAATCGTTCTGGTATGTATACATATCTACCACCCGCTCCCATCACGGGGTCCATCACTGACCCGCTCTGCCTTCATTTGTTCCACACACACACACACTTTCCGCACGCAGACTCAGCCACACCATTCCCTCATTCAGACTGACTCAGACTCAGACCCAGTCAGGCTCAGACGCATCACTTCCTCAATCGCACACAGGTTATGAGGAGGTCTCAGGCGAGGCGCTGGTTTCAGCACTCCCAAGGGGGGAGGCATGGGCAACCACTCCAGCATTCGCGCCCCGATTGCAGGGATGTTGCACGCCGTTTGTCTGTTTACGGCCCCAACCCTTTTCTAACATTTCGCATCCGATGTGCGAGGCTGTCTCAGGCGAGCCGCTGGTTTCATCACCCCCATAGGGGGGGGGAGGGGGGGCGTCATGGACGAACACATTCCAAGACTTGCGCCCAGCTTGTGGGGATGTCTCCAATGGTTTGCCTGTTTATCTTCCCAACAAGCCTCCGCTTTCGGAGCAGTTTGTTAGGATGTCTCAGGCGAGGCCTTAGCGTAATATGGGTGATGTTTCAAGCAGTTTGCCTGCCCTATGCCCCCCGACATCCTCTGCGTTCGGATTAGACTGCGAGGATATCGCAGGCGAAGCGCTGGTTTCAGCGGGCCGCCAGAAGTGGGGGCACTCCAAGTATGGCGCTCAGATTTTGGGAAGTCTCAGGCGGTTTGCCTGTTTCTGCCCCTCAGCATCCTTTGCCTTCGAGGCAGATTGCGAGGATGTCTCAGGTGGGGCGCCCGAGGTGTGGACACCCCAGAGCCCACAATGTGGGAATGCCTCCGGCGATTTGCTTGCACCTCCCCCCCCACCATCCTCCGCTTTCGGAGCAAGCCAGATCGAAACAATTGAAGCCGTTTCGAAACCATATAAAAGTGAGCGTTGTGTGCAAGATTTCGTCGAACAGATACTGCGAATCCGGCTTGAACTCGGCTCGAAGTGATATCGTCCAGGAGTTACTCGAAACCATGACTTGGAAACCCGCTTGCAGTCGGTTCGAAACAATAGGAAAGCGAAGGTTCCCATCGCAATGTCTTGGGGAAGGTGATTTGGAACCCGGGTCGGAGCCGGTTCGACCCAATAGGACAGCGAATGTTTCGCGCAGGATGTCCTCGAACCTATGACTTGCAGTTTGGTTCCACACAGTGTCGAGACTAGCGGAACAAGATCACCGCAATTGCAACATCGAGCCGCAACTTAATCACGTGCATGTGCCCATCGTTTCTCAGGCCACAGAGCTGTGGAAGTCGATGAATGGAGAGGAAGAATGTTGCCAAATAGTTCCGAGATGTCTAAAACGTGTGTCAAACATGTTTTGAAATGTGTAAACACATGTTTGAAACGTTTTTAGAGCATGCTTTACACATTTCAAGCACATCTTTATTTCAATGATAGTATTGTGAGAGTGTCCACTGTCATGGCATCCACAACCACAGAGGTAGTCATGACCGTCGTCGTCGTCGTCGTCGTCTGGCGGGCGGCGGGCGGGGCCCGCGAGGAGCCGCGAGGCGTCGCCGAGGGTCGACGCGGGCGGCAGGGTGGTCGCAGCCGTCGCGAGGAGCCGCGCCACAGGATAAAAGCGTTGATCGTTGAGCGTGATCGTTGGCCGTTATCCTGATCCTTGCTCGTCATCGTTGTCGTTGTCGTCGATCGTCGTCGCTCTCTTCACCGTTGACCCCCTCTTCGAGCCTCCCAGCCCCGCGAGGAGCGCCTCGGCCTCCACGGTGCCGCGCCGCGCCGCCGCGCGACCACGGCGCCTCACCACGGCGCAGGCGCCGATTTCCGCCCGCCCGCGCTGGCGTCGCCAGCGTCGTCGGAGGCGCTGGTCGGAGCTGGAGACCCCCCCATCCTCGATCCTCGAGTTCAGTCGGGCGTGTCCCTCGACAGGAGGAGTGTTCCGAAATAGCGGAAAGATAGTGTGGGGGGGCGATGTTTCTATTTTTCCTGACGATTTCTCGAATGTTTGTTTGATGGTCGTTCATTCCTCTTCTAAGATCCGCCTGTAGCGGGACATGACCGACCTGGTCCCATTCTTGATCCTCCTCTCTGTTTGACTCGAAAGGTGGTCCAGCGAAAAGGGGGTGGGGCAATACATTTGGTGCAATGGATTTGTAGGGGCGTGCAATATACTGCAGCACAACGCAATACAATGCAATACATTTGGTGCAATGCATTCGTTGCAATACGCTGCAATACAATTCTCCGGCGCAGTATATGTGCAAAACAATTGCCCAAACTCTATTGCATCACCCCCTTTCAGCTGGACCCCCTCGTGGGTCAACCAACTCCTCGGCCGTCGACCCTCTACATTAGGTCGGCGGCGAGCGAGGGGGGGAAGTGAGAAGGAGATGGCCTCCTCAGGAGGCGGCGGGGCTTCTCAGAAGCCCTTTGGCTTTCTGAGAAGTTTTCTGTGTCGTCGGGGAAGGCTCAGAAGTTTTCTCAGAAGGCCAGCGGACTTCCGAGCCGTCTGAGAAGGCCCGCCCCATCTCACTTCCCCCCCGTCGCTCGCCGCCGATTGGCGGCGCGCATCAAGAACCATTTGCTTTGCGTCAGGGCACTCTGAGTTTCTTCGCTCCGCGCGCTGCGCGGTGGCTTCCCGCAGCCGTGGAAGAAGCTGCTGGGTGGGTTTTCAGGTCGGTTTCTTACAAGGGTTTCTTGCGGCCGCGCCCGCACTGTATCCTTGATCTTCCTCGGCCGTCGCATCGCAGAGCGCGCATGCAGACAACCCCGCCGAGGGTCGCGATTCCCCCAGCGGCGGCAACGCCGCCGTCGTCGCCGTGACCACCGGCACCATTCTGAACGACGGGAGCATAGGAGCAAATCGCCGATCCTGAACCGAGGTCAACGCTGCAGCGGAAGCGCCATTTTGGAAAGGCCGACCGCGGGCGGATTGAAACAACACATAAGAACAACCAACTCGCACCAATCACGTTTGTAGAAAGTATGATATCGGAGTTCCCCCCTTGTAGATTTTGATTAGGTCGCGGGTCAATGGGGGGCACAACAGCAGCAACACATGTAGAACACACACCATCATCCCTTTGAACTGCTGGTTCGTCTACCTCCTGCTTGTGGACTTCCTCTGGCTCCTTCTTCGTCCGCATGTAGCATCTGTCGTACAGTACGACTCGTAGTTCCCTATCTTTATTCATCTTTACCCCATTAGATTACGACTCGAAGTCGTAAATTACAACTTTGAGATCGAAAGGATGGGGAATTACGTCTCGTAATGCCCCATCCTTTATCTCAAAGTCTGCGTCCCTCCTACGAACCATGGCGCCATGGTCCTCATCATGCTCTTCCCCCCCCCCGTTACCTCAGACGCATCCCTGGAGGGCCAGGTTGCACTGGTGAGGCCGCTGGAGTGGAGAGGGCGCGACACCTGATGAAGAATACGATGCCCAGATTTTGGTCGGGCCTGTCCCAACAAATTCTCAAAACATACTCCAAAGATGCCCCAAACTACTCCAAAAAATAGTCCCCAGACTATTTTTTGACTATTTCTGAATTTTCCCCCTGTAGAGGGACAGGCCCGACTTAAGCCCAGATGCCTGCCGCGGTCTGGAGGGCCTTTCTGGAGGGCCAAGCGGCATTGGCGAGGCTCGTGGAGTGCGGAGGGCACGTAACCTGCTAGGCATCATTGTGCTGTGATGCCTGCTGCCGTCTGGCGGGGCCTCCCTGGAGATCAAGATAGCACTGGTGAGGCCGGTGAAGAGAGCGGGGACTCATGGGTTTCTCAATAAGCGTGGCGTGGTATTCCCCCGACGGGGGTCAACCTCGCCTCGTCGTCGCGCCGCGACGGGGTTCGGAGCGCCTTCGGCGCGCGGTGGCTGCCCGCGACGGGGGTCGATGCGGGGCTGTCGGCGGGGGTGACGCCCCCCCGACGCTTATTAAGAAACTCGGGGTCGATTCCTTCATGCTCCGACAACCGCCGCGGTCTGGTGGGGCCTTCCTTGAGGGCGAGGGCCAGGCGGCATTGACGAGGCCCGTGGAGTGGGGAGGGCACGCAACCTGATGAACAACACGGTATTCCGATGCCTGCCACGATTTGGTGGACGTTCTCTGTAGGGCGAGGTGGCATGGCTGAGGCTGGTGAGCGGGGAGGGCTCGAAATTTGATCAATAACACCGCCGCATCCCCCAAGATGGGTTCTGATATCCTTACGACGAGGCACGGACCCTGTAAACATCTACGTATACATATAACCGCGACCCCCAGATGGTTCATCATACCCCCCTCTGGCAGGCTGCTACCCCTTGATGCAGATTTGGTCGGCGGGGAGCGGCGGCAAAACGGGGGGGAGACTGCGAATCGAAGCTGCGATCTTGCGATGTTAACGAGCAGCATCACCAACCACGTTTGGCACGGCAACGGGGCTGTCACCATTTCTGTTTTCGCAGAGCCACGAGCGGCTATGGGCTTCTCACCACCTCAGCTTTCTTCAGTCACGAACGTGTGGCGCGGCTATGGGATGCTCACCAGTTCCGTTTTCCCAAGTCACGAACGAGGACGGCACGAAGGGATGCCGAGCCTGCGTGGGCGAGTTGTTCACACTTGTTCGCAAGAGAGGTTTTCCGGCGAGGGGCGCCAAGGACCTCCAGAGCGTAGGCAAGTTTGCGGTGCGAGATCTCTAGGAGAGCCATGTATTTTTTGAGCGGGGATCCCGATGAGCGCCAGGGGTCGTCACCGTCACCATCGTCATTACCATCATCATCATCATCATCATCATCATCATCATCATCATCATCATCACGCCAAATTGCATCCAGGCAGCTCAGTGCATCCACGCCAAATTGCAGAGTGCCTTGCAACTTGGCGGATGGGACTTACCGGCGAAAGGTATACAATATGTTACGCAAATTGCGGATGAAGCGCCATGGCATGAAACCACGAATTGTGAAGACCTGTATTTTAAAGCCGTGGGTGCGCATTTCAACCGCAGTGGCCGCAGCGAGCAGGACATCTTGAAGAAATCCTTCGCTATCAGATCTTCTGTTGCCGACGCCGGACACATTCTGAATTGCAAGAGCAGTTCCCGGAAGCAACGTTTCGAATTCATTCGCAGGATTTGCCAAGGCGTCGGTTTATGGTCGGCTGGAGTATGGATTTACAATCATCGTAGTCTGTCCCGTTTGCGTTCGACGCAAAACGACATTTTCCGACAACATTTTCGGTTGCACCGTCTAGTTTCTGAGACCGATGAACATTATGCCAAGCGCCAGAACCGGGAGCTCCGCAGTTTCAAAAACGCGTTGTTCATCCCAGATCTCGACGTGGTTGCCGCCAGACGGACGTATAGGTACGCAGGCCACGTGGCTCGACAGGTGGAGTACGACCCATGTCGTTTAACTTCGCAGGTGCTGCAGTGGAACTGTCAGCGCGTTGCTCGTCCGAACGTCCGCAAAGCTTCGGACCGGCAGGGTTTTTCAAGATGCAGCCCTTGGAACTGGGAAGGCCAGTTCACTAGATTTTAGGATACGGTGAACCGTGATTGGATGGAGGTGGCCAGAAGCAGGCGCGACTGGAAGTCGCATGAGGACGCGTGGATTCGACATGTCTTGGGCAAAGCGGCTCAGACAGCATTGTGTTGAACTGTTTTCTTTGTCTTCCTAGTTTTGACCAGCATGAGGTGCTGCTGGTGTTTCGACACTTTTAGGGCAGATAACAACAACAACAACAACAACAACAACAACAACAACAACAACAACAACAATATCATCATCATCATCGTCCGATTTGTCGGGTAAGCGTTTCTTATCCCCCTTGGACATGGGATGTGATGATCTCCACTTGCTTGTCATCAGGGGTATGTATGTATGTATGTATGTATGTATGTATGTATGTATGTATGTATGTACACATGCACGCATGTATATAGCTCATGACGGCCCAAGGGGCGCCCAAGATCGCCCCAAAAGGGCCCCAAGACGGCCCCAAGAGGGGCCCAAGGAGAGACCCCAAGCCGATAATTCGAGCCGTCCGCCCCAAGAGGCTCCCAGGAGGCCCCAAAAAGGCCCCCAAGAGAGCCCATGAGGCCCCTAGAGGCCCGAACAGAGGCCCCAAGAGCATCCCAAACGGCCCCCCAATGGCCTCCAAAACTGCCTTGGAGATGCCCCCGGGAAGCCTCCCACGAATCCCAAGCGAACTTCCAAGGGGCCTCTAGCCCACAACCCAGGCGCGGTGGCGGGACGGGCCGAAGGCCACTAGATGGTCCAAAACGGCCTCCAGACGACCCAAGAGACCCCCAAGATGCCCAAGAGACTTCCAAGAGGCCCCAGCAGAGCTTCCGTAGCCATTTTGGCTCAAGCCCTTTCGGCTCAAGCCGTGCTGGCGCAAGCTTGTCCCGCAATTCGTCTCCCCCGCGCACTTCGATTCGGGGAGCACCCTGCTCTAACAGTTCTTTTTACTACCCGCGCACTTCGGCAGCGCGCCCCCGTGCCGCCAGCCAGCCATGGCAGCCGCCCTCTGCCGCGATGCCGCCGCCGCCCGCTGCGGCGCCCCCCTGCTCGGCGGCCCGCCCTCGGTGCCGCTCCGCTCCCCTGGCGGCGCCGCCCCGCCCACCGCGGCCGCCCGGGTGCCCCCGGGAGAGGCCCCGCGGCAGCAGCGGGAGCACGGGGAGGAGCGGTGCCTTGAGGAGGTGGTGGGCCACCTGCTGGACGGGCTGGGCTGGACGACGGCTCGATGTGGTACCTCATCGCAGAGCTGCTCGCCTCGGGCGTGGCCAAGATCGAGAAGCTGGAGGCCACGGCGCGAGAGGGCGAGGCAGCCGGCAGGGACGAGCGCGTGGCCGACGGCGGGCGCCCGGAGCCCGCGGCGTACGCGGTGCCAGCGCGCCGGCAGGCCCGCGGCACGCCGCCGGCGCGGCCGCCGCAGCGCGGCGAGGACGATCGCGGCCACCTCGCTCTGAGCATGTCCGACGCCTGGAGCCGCCTCTCCGTCGGCCGCGGCGCGCCCTGGCGGGCCAGCGCGGGCGGCCGCCGCGGGGGGCGCCTGGTCCGCTTCGGCGGCTCCGCGAGCAGCTGGAGTTCCAGAACGCGCAGAGCATGGGCAAGATCTCGCGCCTGATCAGCCACTGGGCGCCAAGGGGCTCCTCGCCGGTGGCGCCCATCGGCCTGCCGGCCACCGCCGCGGCAGCCCCGCGCGCCGTCCAGGGGCAGCCGCAGGAGGCAGGCGCAGGCGTTTGCAGCGGCCTCCAGGTGTGAAGTGCCAGGGTGACGAGAATGAGCGGATCTTGCTGGCGCCCGTGCTCGCTGCGCGTGGACGTTTGAAGGCCTTCATGCATGGCACGCTGCGCGGCGTCGTGCGAAGCACTGGCGCGCACGCGCGCCGCAGCTGGCGTGCCAAAGGCAAGCCGCGTGGCGTTGCGCAAAGCGTTCGCCCCCGCGACACGCCACGCCTCTGGCAGCATGAGCACATGCACATGCACGTACAGAGAATGTCTATTTACACGCCCACATACACCGTTTTCGTATGCATGTTTCCGCGCGCCCGAGCGACAGTCCGTGCGACGGGGCACCTCGCCTCGTGGCGACCTCCACAGCACGAGTCTCCAGATTTTCCGCACTGGGGACCTCGGGCCGCGGCCTGGTCTGTGTGGACGGAGGCTTGGGGCATGAAGGACAGACGAACAGTCGGTCAGCCCTGATTGGTAGGTCAATCGCTCCAAATCGAGGGGTCCTTCTCTTGGGGTTGTCTTTGCTGTGCCCAGGCGCCTGGAGTCGCGCCCGCGGTTCCTCTCCGACCCGCAGGCCCTCTCCGAGCTGCTGGAGTAATTGGGTGCACGCTTCCTCGTCGCCCTCCCCTCTTCTTCCCCACGCCCCTCCGCCGCGTGACGCAGTGTTCTCATGCAGCTTCTACAGCAAAAAACAAAAAAAGAGGCCCCAGCAGAGCTCGAAGAGGCCAGCCATCTATGCGCCATAGTTTTTTTTTTTTTTTTTTTTTTTTTTTTTTTTGGGGCGTTTTCGCCTGTTCCGCTTCCCGACGCTTCAAAACGCCCCAGGAGGCTCCGAGGAGCGCCCAAAGATAGCCCAATAGGTTCCAAAAGCGGCCCCAAACGGCCCATTACGTTTCTAAAGCGCCGAAAAAAAGTCCAAGACGGCCCGAGAGGGCCCCAACCGCGGTCAAGGATCGGGAACGTGAACCGAGAACCCGAGATCTTCGCTCCAGGTGACCCCCAGGAGGCGTCAAAAGGTCCTCAAGACGCCCCAGAGAGGCCCGAACGAGCTTCGAGAGAGGCCCCGAGGGCACGAAAGGGAAACAGGACATCCAATATTGTTGTTTTAAGTTCGCCTGGCAGGTTCGCCATGCTTGCAAAAAACATTGAAAGATCTGATGTCCTCCTTTTCCTCCTCCTCTTCCTCCGGTTCCTCCTCTGCGGCCTCCTCCACCCTCTCCAACTCCTCATCGTCCTTCTCCTTCTCCCCCAGGGGACCCCTTCATCTCTCCTTCTCCTCCCTCTTCTTCCAGCTACGTCCAGCCGCGGCGAATAAAAGGGCCCCTGAAGTGCCTGCTGGGCCTGTCTTAAGCCGTCGTGGGTGGACCGCAGGAAGTCTTGGACGCCACTTGGGCCGCCTTCGCGGTTCTTGAAAGGCCCGGAGAAGGAGTGTCATGGAATGGGGATCCCCAAAAGCTCGACCATCCAGCCTAGCTAGAACTTGAGCGCGCGCGCGACGTGTCTAGTGTGTGTGTATATATACACATATGTATAGGGCTCTCTCTCTCTCTCTCTCTCTCTTTCTCTTTCTCTCTCTCTCTCTCTCACTCTCTCTCACTCTCACGGTATCCCGATGCCGGTTGCGGGCTGGCGGGGCCTCCTTGGAGGGCCAGGTGGCATTGGTGAGGTTGGTGCAGTGGGCAGGGCACGAGACCTTATCAGACTGAGGGGGCCGAGCGGTCCTACGCTGTCCTTGGGTGCGCGGCTGGAGTGGAGTTCCACAGCGCGGATTCTGCAAGTTGTGTGTCAGTTTGTTATCGCCGTCCTCCCGCGACCCACCCCGCGACCCACCCCACGACCCCGCCCCCCCACATTTATTTATTTATATATAATTCGCCCTGACGAAACTTTGGCCTGCGGCGGGTTTGTGCAGAGCGTCGCAGACCGTCGACGTCCCCGCCGCCCCCATCACTCTTATCCGCGACTGCGGGGGCTATGGTCACTGTGAGGGGGCCGAACGGTCATTCGCTGTCTGTCTTTGGGTGCGTGGTGAAAGTGGGGCTCCACGGTGGACATCGGTGTTGCGATGTTGTTTGTTGAATTCGCACTTCTACACAATAGTTTGTGTTGAGCCCCTTCGTCTGGTGACCATTGTGCGTTTCAATGACATTGTTTCTGCCGGGGTCACCAAATTGCTCCCCTGGCCCCTAGTTTACAGCAACAACGGCTCCCGCCTGGTTGTTCCTCACACATGTTATCGAAACATCGCGCTCAATCGCGAGACTAGCTCGCTCATTTCGCAGGAATCACGCTTTCTTGTGGGACGTCTTCGCAATTTATTCAACGGCTCTCGACGATCAGGAATCGCGATCGCGTTTTGGTGTTTCTCGCGATTAACTTTGGAACCGCGATCTCGCTCGAGACCTCCTCGCGATCGGACTCGCGCTCCGCGATATTGCTCTAAACCACGTCGCGATATCGTTCGAGCACTCGGTAAGGGAAGTTCTGGTGTCACCAAACTGTGTAGTTGTGCCCCGATCGACAACAACGGCTCCCGCCTTATACTTCCTCACAATGTATGCCAACATCGTGCTCTCGCGCGGGATTCCCTCACACGTTATGTAGGAATCACGCTCTCGAGTGGGATGTGCCGGCAATGTATTCCGACGCCGTGCCCTCGACATTTCGGAATCACACTCTCGCTTTTGCCTTTGTCACGATTTCTTTGGGAATCGCGCTATCGCTCGAAACCTCGTTTGATGCATGCACTGCTCACGTTTTCACAATCCGCCTGTTCGACCTGGCGGCTTGGGCCCGGCTTCCCGCCCCGCCCGTCAGGGTCTGCCCGCCCGATCAGACCGCCTGGTTCTGCCACGTGCTTCTTGCTCCGAACCACCCTCCTGCCAATCCCGTGCTCCGTGCGTCCCCCTACCCCTTGCATTCGTCTTCTTCGCCCCTACAGTCGGCCCAGGTTCGTAGGTCGACCCTGCCAAATCAAGGGTACCTTGTGTCCTGTGTCTCGCGACCCATGCTTCCCACATTCCTGTGGCAATGTGGCCCTCGGAAGCGTCTTGTGTCCTCTCGCGTGTCCTGTCCAATCGAGTCCGACTGTACCTCCGGGGCTGCGTTAATTACGCGCGGTAGCCAAGGAAAATATACCGCAAAGGGGGTACGATCGAAGCCGAGCAAGGCGGGTACCGAGGGTTTGGGATATACGTTTTGAGCTGCATGCGAACAGGTAAGAGCAAATCATCTTCAAATCAGAAGATAGCTCGCTGCTTGAGCCCCAAAGCCAGCCCAAACGGCAAGCCCGATTTGGGCGTTGCCCTGCGCGCATGTGGATGCCCGCGCATTGTCCTCGTACTACGCGCGGGCCCCCAGCACGGTGAGTGCGGTGACGTCGTCTTGGTCGCACCAGGGGCACACATAGGTTGCGCTCTCGGCCGCCGAAAATAAAACCGTGTCTATCAGGTGCGCCATAGGTTGCGCCCTCAGCCGCCAAGAACAAAACCGTCTCCAATTGGTTGTGCCATAGGTTGCGCCCTCGGCCGCCGACAATCAAACCGTCTCCTATCGGTTGCGCTATAGGTTGAGCCCTCTGGGTCCGAGAATAAAACCGTCTCCTATCGGTTGCGCCGTAGGTTGCGCCCTCGGCAGCCGAGAGTTAACACTTGCCATACCGAATGCGCCATAGGTTGCGCCCTCTGCGGCCGAGAATAAAACCGTCCCCTACTTCTTGCGCCATATTTTGCACCTTAAACCGTCTCCTAGTGGTTGCGCCATAGGTTGCGACTTCGGCGGCCGAGAATACAACCGCTTCCCATAGGTTGCGCCATAGGTTGTGCCCTCGACCGCCCAGATAAAACAAAATCAACAAACAAAACGTCTCCTGGCGGTTGCGCCTCAGGTTGCGCCCTCGGCCGCCAAACATACAACCGTCTCCTACCAGTTGCGCCATCGGTTGCGCGTTTGGCGGCCGATAATGAAACAGTCTCCTATTGGTTGCGCCATGGGTTGCGCCCCCTGCCGCCGACAATGTAACCGTCGCGTAACGAGTGCGACCAGTCCGTTCAGTTCTCAGTCTAGTTCAGTTTACTTCAGTCCAGTCCAGTCCAGTCCACTTAGTTCTACCCTGCGAGAACCGACTTCGCGCTACGCCCGAACTGATTGTTGTTGTCAATGTTGTTGGTGGTGTTGTCGCTGTTGGTGGTGCTGTTGTTGTTGCTGCGGTTGTCGTTGCTGTTATTATGTTTGTTGGTGATGTTGTTGCTGTTGTTGTTGCTGCTGTTGGTGCTGTTGTTGATGGTGGTGTTGTGTTGCTGGTGATGTTGGTGTTGTTGTGGCTGTTGTTGCTGCGGTTATTGTTTTTGTTGTTTATTGTTGTGCTGATGTTGTTGTGGCTGGTGTAGCTGTTATTGTTGTTTGTGTTGTCGTTGTTCTTGTTGTTTTTTGGTGTTGTTGTTGATGCTGCTGTTGCTGCTGCTGCTGGTGTTGTTGTCGTCGTCCCACCTGCGACCCGGCCCGCGACCCACCCGCGGCCCACCCGCGGCCCACCCCCGCGACCCACCAGCGACCCACCCGCGACCCACCAACGACCCACCCGCGCGCGACCCACCCGCGACCCGCCCGCGACCCGTTTCCGACCCATTCCGCGCTCGCCCCCTCATTCTTATTCCCAATTGTGGGGTGGTGCAGTCAAAAACCCTAATAAGGACGCGCGACTTTGCTCAGGGTACCCTTGCGTCCTTGCCCCTCCTTGCTCTTGCGTCCTTGAGGTTTTCGTCGTCCGCCGCCCCAAAAATCCCAACTTCGGCTTCCAAGGGTCTTGCGTCGTTACCGCGCGTCCTTATTGTACACCAGCAAGGCAATATTCCGATGTTTGTGCCACGGTTTGGCGGGGCCGCCTTGGAGGGCAGGGTGGCACTGGCAAGGCGGGTGGAGTGCGCAGGGCACGAAGCTTGATCCGTAGCACCGCCTCGTCCCTAAAGATGGTTTCTGGTGTCTCTTAAGCCTACTGCGAGGTGGGTAATCCTCGTTTCTCTCCTCTCCCTCCATCCTCTCCCCTTCCCTCCTCTCTCCTTCTCCCTCCATCCGTCTTCTCCCCCCCGTCTACAGGCCCTCCCTGCGTAGAGACACTCCGCTCCCCCTTGCCTGCGGGCGCGCCTACAAGCCCTCACCGCCTTTAGTCACTCTTCCCTCCCCGTCTACAGGCACGCCTGCAGGCACGCCTACAGGCCTTCCCTGCATCTAGGCACTTCGTTCCTCGCTTCCTACGGGCACGCCTACATGCCTGCCTACGCAGGAGTGCCGTGTATACGCTCGAACGCTTGAATCTACCCAGTGGGTCACAGCACTGGGTCCTCCCTGTTGCTCCCTCCTGCCTCTTATCCTGTGGCTCGATGACGGCCACGTCGCCTCCCTCCCAGGTCCTTCTGAGAGTGTGTACAGTTGACCTTTTTTGGCCTGCACGCAGTTTGACGAGTGAACACGACCGAGCGTCATCGGCCTGCGGCCGACCGACTGGCCGACCTCCTATACCCAGATCTTCGATGTGTTGAGTTGTGTTCCATATGGGGTTCTCCGGACGTCTAAACGGTTTGGGGCCCGGCGAAGGTTCTATTGGCGGCGCTCATATGGGGGTCAGGGGGAGTGGGGAAGGCTTCGTAGAAGTAGCTGCTTCTCAGAAGGAGCCCCCCCTACATCTGTAGACAAGGCACGCGCCTTCAAGAAGAAGCAGCCTCCTTATAAGAAGCCTTTCCCCCTCCCCCACTATCCCCCTGTCCGGATGCAACTCCTGGGAGGTCAAATTCTGATGTTGCCCTGGTCCAAGATTTGGCTGAATCCCGCTAGATCTGGCGCCATCCCGTTTAATCTTGTTAATACCGCTAACTCCGCGGCCTAATCCGGCGTAGCAGCCCCCCAATGCGGGCGAGTTCTCCTTAACCTTTCCGATGAAGACCTCCCAGTGTTTGCCTCCTAACTTTGCCCCCCCTGTGCGCGCCGCCAAGGCTTCCAGAGGCCGCAGCCTCGGAGAACCTGCGTACTTGGCTGCCCCCCCTCCCCGTGAGTCAAGCAGTGACGAAGCGTCCTGGCGCGCCTATAGTCCTACCAAACACTGTTCTAAGAACCTTTTGTGGTCCCCACGGAATGCGACATGTTTTTAGAGCATGTCTGGCTGGGACTGTCTTGTTTTATCACACCTGGCTTATGTTATGAGAGCATTGCTTCTGTTTCTTAGAACACGTCTGGCTGGGGACCGTCTTGTTTTACCACATCGGGCTTCTGTTCTAAGAACAGTGTTTTTGTTCTTCGAGCATTTCTGGGTCCTAAGGACATTTCGTGTTAGGACGTTCGGAATGCTCCTGCTGCGGGGACAGGACCGGGACCTCCCTCCCCCCCCCTCCTCCTGGTGCAGTGTGGCTCCTCTTCGTCCTCTCCTCCTCCTCCTCCTCCTTCTCCTCCTCCTCCTCCTCCTCCCCGCCCGCCGCCGCGCTCTCGCAGGCGCGCCCGCTGCTGACCGTCCAGAGGGTCGCGCTGCACGGCGCGGCCACGGCAGGCGATAGCCTCGTCGTCGCCGCTGTTTTTTGTCGCTGTCCTCGTCGCTCGTCCCCCTTCTCCTCCTCCTCCTCCTCCTCCTCCTCCTCCTCCTCCTCCTCCTCCTCCTCCTCCTCCTCCTCCCCCTCCCCCTCCCCCTCCTCCTCGCCATCTCCGTCGTCGCTGTATCTCTCGCAGCGTCGTCGTCGTCACCGTTCTCGTCGTCGTCGCTCTGGTCGTTCTCTCGTCGTCGTCGCCGTCGTCGTCGTTTGCCCCCGGCGTGGCCCTCGTCGTCGGCGTTCTCGGCGTCGTCGTTGTCTTCGTGGTCGCCGCTGCTGCTGTGTCGAGCGTGTTCGGGCCTCTGCGACAGTACTGAGTCTCTGGGGGGGGTGTTCTGGAGAGTTCCTCGAGCCTGAAGAGGCCTCCAGAGACATTTGGGTCGTCGTCGTCGTCGTCGTCGTCCTGTTCTTGAGGTCCGTCCATGGCTGTTCATCGAGCGCTCCTCGCGCACGCAGAGTAGGATGGAACTCCGGGGAGGTTGAATTCAGCCTCTCTGACCCGGGATCGAAATCTGGCTTCACCCCGATCAATTCCGTGTGATACCGTTTGGCCCGGTTTCATTCGGTTCCTATCGGGCTCAATCTTGGCTCGTCTTGATTAATGGCCCCTGAATGTGGCCTCATAGCCCTGGAACGGTCGTGCGAATGTCTCCCAGAGGTTGCCCCCCAGCGAATGCCAAAGAGGGGCGCCGTGCCCTTTCTCTGCGTTCTCTGTGGCCGCAGCTCGGCGGCAGGGCCTCTCTGGGTGGGATCCTCGGCGGCGGACCTCGCCACAGGGAATGTCCGCCCCGAGAATTTGATCTGAGCGCGCGGCGTGCTCGGACGTCTCTGTCGTCGTCGGCGTCGGCTCGGCTACTCCAGATTTCGTAATAAAGGGAGGGGGGTCTCATTTCGGGGGGGGTCTCTTCCAGGCTATCTTGGAGGGCCTGGGGGGGTCTGGGGACGATGTTTTGGAGGGTTTTCCCACGGGGGGGGGGTCTGAAATGGCTTGTCTTGGAGGGTCCAGACCCCCTCCTTTTATTACGAAATCTGGAGTACATGTGCAACAAAAATGGCGAAGCGTCTTCGCCTGGGGGCCCACCAGAGAGAGAGTTCGAAGATCGCGGAATGGGCTGCCCGGAGTGTTCTCAGACCATCTATCTCTGGCTGAGACCCACCTGTGTTGATCCATGGGCTCGTAATGGGGAACATTTCGGATCGACGGGAATCGTGGTAGGCCTATAGAGAATGCCTCGCTGGTCGGTCAAGATCGTGAAGGCCTTACGGCCGGTGCCTCCGACCCTGAAGAGGACGAGGAGGAGGAGGAGGAAGAGCAGGAGGACCCTTCAGGGGCCTCTGGAGAGCCTGGGGATTCCTGGGGAACTGAAGGGGCGTCCTGGTAGTCTCTTGGGCCTCTATTGGGGGCCTGTTGGGGGCCGCTGCCGCGCCGGTCGGTCAAGATTCTCCAGAGTGATCTCCTCCTCCTCTTCCTCCTCCTCTTCCTCCTTTTCCTCCTCCTCCTCCTGCTCCTCCTCCTCCTCCTCCTCCCCCTTCCCCTCCCCCTCCTCCTCCTCTTCTCCTCATCCTCCTCCTGCCCCCCCCCCGAACGCGGAAGGCGATGCGGCAGCGTCGGCTTGTGCTGGTGGCCACATGTGAACTCTACCCCACCACCCCACGATTTCTAAGGGGGTAGGCGAGGTTCACTTCGCTCCCCAGCCTCGCGCCTTGGGGATCGTTGGGTGGTGGGGTAGGCTTGCTCAGGGTCACTCTTTCATATAGCCTTCACTCGGGCGTGTCTCTCTACAGGTGGAATCTTCGAGAAGAGTAATTAAAGACTGGTGATTATATTTCGACTATTGTTGACTAATTTGGGGCATTGATTGTACATGTTCGAGGACATGCCCGATCTAAAACTCCTGCTCAGGGTCACTCTTGCGTGTACACCGCACTCACATCTATACCCCTGGGTGGGTGTATGTGCGGCCGTTTTTGCGCTGTCATGTGCGCGCATGAGCGCGGCATGTGCCAGTCATGTGACAGGCCTGTGCGGCCCTTCTTGGATGGACTTCCTACTGTGCACTTCGTGCCCGGGCATGTGCGGGGGCATTTGCGCTGTGTTTTGATGTATCCACCATACGCACATGCACGCACAGTCCGACGCACATGCGCGCACATGCCTGCACATGCGGGAGGTGTTCGAGAATCGCAGATCTGTCATCGGCACATGCACGCACATGCCTGTGCAACCTCTCTTCGGGAGGCCGCGCGGGCCCGCACATGCACGCACATGCGGTGAAGCGCGCGGGCGCACATGCGTGCACATCCCAATGCACATGCACGCTCATGCCCTAGGAGCTGTCTGGGACCCCTGTGCCTCCAATGCCTCCTGGCCTTCGCAGAGCTAACCTGGGGCGTGCCAGGCCTTCCTGAAAGAGTTTGTTGTGCGTTTAGACTCGCCCGCTGCTGGCGGGGGCGGTTCTTCGCCCGGTTCGTGAGCTGGCGGTGGCGTGCCCTCCTAGTAAAACACTCTCCCGCGCGCCTTCTCAGCTCGGCCGGAGAAGCAGGGGTGGGGGGGGAGGAGGTGGAGGGGGGGGGAAAGGAGGGGGGGCCGAGGAGGCGGACGCCCCCGGCTCGGCCGGCCCGCCCGCCTGTTCGGCTCGGCCGAAAGAGAAGGAGGAGGAGGAGGAGGAGGAGGAGGACGAGGAGGAGGAGGAGGAGGAGGAGGAGGTGAGAGTTGGATGTCTCAGGCGAAAGTGGCTTGACGGCCCGAGCTCAGGGAATCTCGGAATCGCTAGCCTGGCTCGGCCACTGGCGAGCTCGGCCTCTGCGAATACTGTGCGTACCTGTGCGGGGATTTTTCGGGACGTGCAAGAATGCCGGGGCCGGCGTTCGTCTCCGGGCGCCGGCGCGTTCGCGTCCGGCCGGTTCCGAGTGAGACGTCGTCGGCAATCTGGAGGCCGACATGCTTTGACAAGAGGTGATTTGGCCACCTTCGCCTGAGACATCCTCGCAACTCTGGTCTCGGAGATGCCCTGCCCCATGGTGGCCCAGCTACTGTCGCTTGAGACATCCTCGGGACTCTGTGTTTCGAGACGCCCTGAGCTGAGGTGGTTCGACCACTTTCGCCTGAGACACCATCGCAACTCTGACCTCAGAGATCTCCTGCCCCATGCTGGTCAGGCCACTGTCGCCTGAGACATCCTCGCAAGTCTCGATTCCGATATGCCCCGAGCTGAGCTGGTCAGCCACTGTCGCCTGAGACATCCTCGCAACCCTGATCTCAATGATGCCCTGCTCGATAGTGTCTGGGCCCCTTTCGCCTGAGACATACTCGGAGCTCTGGGTTCCGAGACGCCCTGAGCTGAGGTGGTTAGACCACTTTCGCTTTAGACATCCTCGCCCGAGATGCCCTGAGTTGAGGTGTTCAGGCCATTTTCGCCTGAGACATCCTCGCAACTCTGACCTCAATGATGCCCTGCTCCATAGTGTCTCGGCCTTTTTCGCCTGAGACCCTCGCATTTCTGGGTTCCGAGCTGCCCTGCCCTATGGTGGTCCGGCCACGCTTGCCTGAGACATCCTCGCAACTCTGGGTTGCGAAATGCCCCGAGCTCAGGTGGTCATGCCACTATCGCCTGCGACATATCTGCGGCATGTGCGGGCATGTGCGTCCATGCTTTCAGAGTTTTGCTTGACCGTGCATTCGACTGTGCGTCGGACGGTGTGGCATGTGCGCGCATGTTCGGCAATGCTGTTGAGGCTTTTGCATATTTGCATGGACATGTGCATGCGACTGTGCGGCATGTGCCTGCATGTGCGGCCCCTTCCGGACCACAATTTCAAAGTGAGCACTATAGAAGTGAGCGCTATAGAAGTGAGTCCGGTGTAGCCGTTTGGGTCTGGACGTCTTCCGCAGTGGTCGGGCCCGCCTTTCATCGCGGAACGGCCTTTCATCGCCGCGGACGGGCCCGCACGGAGAGGTTTCGGTCAGAGTGCGCTCGAGGGAGGGGCCGGCCTGTCCCCTAGGCTCTTCGCACGGTTCCAGGCCTCCCAAAGGGTGGTCCGAGCGGATGGGGTCAGAGGAGCGTGCCACGGCGTCGCTGCGGCTCGATGCGGAGCCCGATTTTCTCCTCCCCATCGTCGCCGATGCATCTCCGAGGCGGGTATTTCTACATGACCACCACCTGGAGGAACAATTTTCGGGGACTTCGGCAGGCGGTGGATATGGACATATTCGGGCCCCCAGGGGCCAAACTATATCCATACCCACCGCCGGATGGGGCACCAGGACGCCAGTTCCCAGGCGGTGGATATGGATGAATACCCGCCTCGCAGCATCGCGGACGTCGCCGATGCACCCGGGATGCGGCGCGATCCTCCGACCCCATCTACAGTGGAAACCCATGCCAAGAAACACCCTGCTTGCCTCCAAGGTGCCCTTGGCTTTTTACGTTTCGAGGGTTTTGCGATGGCGCGCGTGACGTTTTCGCACCAAAAGTCAATGGACGTCATGTGGTCTAAGGGTTGGGCTTCTTGTGAAAGATTTCTTGTGGTCGAGTTCCTATTGTAAGATTCCTTCCACGATCCACGATCCTTCCAGTCGGCGCGGGCCCTCGCAACCCCTTCCCTCCCCCGTGGAGTAGATCGTGCTTTTTTGTTGGCGCCTGCTTCAGGCAGGTGGAGCCTCCCTCATAGTGGACGCCCTGTTGCAAACAGCCGCACTGAGCAGAGGTCCAGAGCCAGACCCCCCCCCCCTTCCGCCCAATGTCAAAGCGCCGAGTAAGACAACGATCACCAATGGCTTTCTCGACTCGCTGGGCAACCGCCGACGTCGCCGACGCATCGGCGATGCGGCGCGCCTCTGCACTGGAAAGGTTCTTCCCACGAGCCGAGAAGTGCTCCCTCGACTCCGTCCCCGGGTCGTCCACGGAGATCCGGCCGAGGCCTGGCCCTGTGCCGAGGTCTCCGGAGGCCCCCGCGCGCGCGCAGGGCTCGGGCCGGCAGCCGAGGTGGCGCGAGGGGGTTTGCCTCGGAAGGGCGGCGGGGGCTTCTCAGATTTTGGCATCGTTCGGACGTGTGCGTCTCTTCTCGGAGGAGGACAAGGTACCCATATCTCTACCCCCTCGCCCGTTTTCCCCTTTGTGGGCCTCCAGGGAGGCCCTCGTCGCCACCGCTGGGTTCGCCTCGAAATCCTGGTCAGAACGCACCCCGGGAGAGGTCCGGTGAGTAGCGGTATCGGTACCTTGTGGTTTCCACATTTTCAAGGGAGGGCAAAATCTGGGCCTCCCAGATCCTAGATGGGGTCAGAGTAGATGGGGTCGGAGGGTCGCGCCGCATCGCCGATGCATCGCCGATGCGGCTCGATGTGGGGCCCGAGGTCGGCGGCAAGCGGGGGGGGGGAGCGAGAAGGAGAAGGCCATCTTAGAAGGCGGCGGGACTTCGCAGAAGCCCTGGCGCCTTCTTAGAAGTTTCCTGTGCCTGTGGGGGAGGTTTAGACAACTTCTCAGACGACCGGGCGACTTCCGATCCTTCTGAGAAGGACTTCTCCTTCACACTTCCCTCCCGGGCTGACCGCCGATATTTTTGTTTTTCTCGGTGAGGACCTTCGAGGAGCATCCTCGACCATCGGGCCCCAAAACACACAGCACGACACCGCAAAATGTACAGGGGGCCCCACGCAGAGGCGTGGGGGCCTTCTTAAAAGCCACCCCCGCGCACGATAGGCCTTTTTTTCAGGAGACCTCCTCGCCTTCTTGGCCTCTCCCTTCTGAGAAGCCCCCCCCTGCCCGCTCAGAAAGATGAGGCGGGAGGCATCTTCGAAGGCAGGGGGGGGCTGTTCAGAAGGCGGCAGGGGGGGGCAAAGAAAGCAGGGGCGCGTTGCAAAAGCCATTCGGAGGAAGATGAGGAGGAGGAGGAGGAGGAGGAGGAGGAGGAGGAGGAGTTGGAGGAGGAGTTGGGTTGGTGCGAGGAGGAGGAGGAGGAGGAGGAGGAGGAGGACCCCCCCAGAGGCCTTGTGCGAACCCCCCCTGTGCGTATAGAAGGGCGACACCCTCTCTTGCGGCAGCCCTTCCTTGTGCACGCCGCCAGTCCGGAGAACCAAGGAAAGAGAGACGCCCTCCAGGGTGCCTCACCCTCCTCCTCCTCCTCCTCCTCCTCCTGCTCCTCTCCTGCTCCTCCTCCTCCCTCCTCCTCCTCCTCCTCCTCCTCCTCCTCCTCCTCCTCCTCCTCCTCCTCCCCTCCTGCGCATTGGCCCTCGGGGCTCTCCCCGTCGCTCCGCGGTCGCGGCTTGGAAAGCTTGGTTACAGTGGAGGCCCATGCCGAGAAGCACCCTGCCTGCCTCCAGGGTGCCCTGAGTTCCTGGGGGTTCGATGGTTCTGCCATGGAAAACCGCGTGACGTTCCCACACCAAAGATCAATGGACGCCCTGGGGTCTCAGGGTTGGGTTTCTTGTGGAACATCCTTTGCGGTCGATTTCCTACTGTAGACATTCGGCACCCCTCGGTCCTCGATCTTCCCACATGTTCACGACGCGAGAGGGGATTCACTGGTTTGTCGACACCCCTCGCGGAGCGGGTCGCCGACGTCATCGCCGGGCCCAGCGGAGAAGAGAGGCCAGAGACGCGCCCAAACTCTGCTCCCCGTGGATTCTCGAGCGTCGCATCGCAGAAACGCCCGCGGCCCGCACGCGGGCCTCCGCGCCAATTGTCACCACCCACCAAACCACCCCAACCCAACCCGAAGGCTCATATTTTCCCTCGATTTCCAGTGCGGGGGGGGGGGCGGGAAACATCGAAGAAACACATGTTTGGAACCCTTACCCCCCCCAACCCGAAATTCGGGTCTTCGGGTTGGGTTGGGGTGGTCTGGTAGGTAGTCACATTGGTCGCCGACCCCCGACCGCCCCAGACCTCCGACGGCCGGAGCCTTGCGGTGCGGGGCCCCCGGAGCTGGAGCGCTCCCCGGAGGCCGCCGTCGGGCGGCCCAGGCGCCCGGCGAGGGCTTCCCGGCGCCGAAGAAGCCTTGGCATCGCTCGGGCGCGTGCACTTCCTCTCGGCGGGGACTCTTTCAGGAGCATCCTGGATCATCCTGCGAAAAAAAAAACACACACACACACGCACACACGCACACACGCACACACGCACACACGCACACACACACGCACACACACACACACACGCACACACACGCGCACACACACACACACACACACACGCACACGCACATACACACACAAAACCGACAAATACACAGCTCCGAGCGATGGCCAGAAAAATTACGAGCCTCCGCCTTCAGTTTTTCAGAGATGGTACAGCCCTGGGCAGCAGCAGATGGCAAGGCCGAGGAGCCGCTGGAGCGGGTGCGGGAGGTCCGTGCCTCCCTGCTGCTGGGGTCGGGGGAGCGCGCCGCAGCGGCGTTGCGGCCAGATGTGGGTCCCGACCCCCTCCACTCGAACAAGAAACGACGAAATTAATGAAAATTTCTGGCGCTCCGCGCGGATTTCTCGGATCAGCGCTGGACCTCCCTGCCTGGCGCAGGGAGCGCGCCAGGGGCGGCGCTGGAGGCGCCGCCCGGGAGGAGGGGGGACCCGGCGCGAAGCCGAGAACTCCGCCCGGAGCGCCAAGAGTTTACGCTTTTCGGGAGCCTTGAGACGGGGGTCAATGCAAACGGGGGTCAGCCACGGCACCAGATCCTGCAGGATCCTGCGAAGACCCCCTTTGGCTGACCCGGGTTAGCCAGCCGCTCGTGGCCGCGAGGCGGCGGCGCCTATTGGCTGACCCGGGTTTGCGAAGACCTGCGTTGCAGTTTTTTTCTTGCATTGCAGTTCTTGGTGTCTTGCTGACCCGGGTCTGGATTGACCCGGGTCAGAAGCTCCCCGAGCTGTTATGGCCTTGTTGCCGTCTTCGTCCACGCCGCCGTCGCCGATGCGCCGGCGCCCCCGCCGCCGCTGCCAGGCCACCCCGCCAAGGGCCGGCAGCCCCTGGCGGCGCCGCCCGCGGCGGCCCGCTGGACCCTGCGGCCAGCGCGTGCCCGCGCGCCGGCGGCCACGCCCCCCGCGCCCGCGCGGCAGCCGGCGCCGGCCGCCCCGCGGGCGGCGCCCGCCTCCGAGGCGGCCGCCCGCGTCGGAGGGCCCCCCCTCGCGGCGG